GAATTCTGGGAATTTTTTTCCAAGTCAGTTTGCTTTATATTAGATCTGCTGGGAACTGGAAATCCCTTGAATTTTACTGTGAGTTTAATTTAAGTCTGTCAGCTGAAGAAGCACGGGGCGACGGTGGGGGCTGAGCTTGAGTTTCCAGTAAATCCACGATCCATCTGCAAGCGCCAGGATTGGGAAAGCAATTTTATTTTTGCTTTTTATTTGTTTGCTTTCCTGGCCAGAGGGGAAGCAATAGAATCTCTGCTGCAGCTGATGCATGATGCAAAAGCTTAAATCCTCCCGCCAGGATAGTCCTGTGTGCCAAGGTCTTTGGCAGAAAGATCCTCACGCAAGACAGTACAAACCCCTAATCTGACTCCTAGCTTGATTTGTCCTGCTAATCTCAGATGTCTCAAATGCCAAATATTTTACAAATTTAAAGACTTCAAGATTATTTCAACGGCTTTCTTAGTCGGACACTAAATGATGAATCTTTAACGCTGAGGTAGATAGCCGGGTAGCAGGTAGAGTTGCAGTTGCACAACTGGAGCTGATTTCCAGACCTTCTGTTACATTTATTTACACAGACTGTGAAGCTTGAGAAAGGTGATTACATAACCTCTAATAATCATCACATTGTCTTAGTGAAGGGCCACTTGATGCTAATACGACTGAATTAGATCAGGCCCAGAATTATAAGCTTTTGTTCCAGTCAGGCTTCTAGCCCTTGCTTATTTTTTATAGGCAAGAAGGAAGAGGTTGGTAAAATGATCCTTTAGCACGTTAGCGGCTGTAGCATGATCTGACAGCTTGTGGCTCTGGTGGATATTTAGGATCTTCTCCTTTCAGCCCAGTCACCCCTCCCTTAGCCTGGGATTATCACTTGATAATGTGGAAACTGTGAATGTTCCTCTGAAACCCAAGGTTATTTATACTTGAGCGGGGAACAGGCCTGGTCTCTCGGAGACAGATGGCTCACCCTCTTGACCAGACTTGGTGATGTTGGCCTTTGGGTCTAGTCACCACCTCCCCCACACTCCGTTCTGCCTCGTGGCCAGACCTCCATCAGGCATGTCCAGGCTCCATTCTATAAACATATGAGTCTAGTTCTAGCTATCTGTGATATCATCCCAAAGAACAGAGGACACTGTGTTTCAAAGACCCACAAAGAATAATACACTTTGGTATCTACATTCACTAAATAAACCATGTTTAGATAAGAGATTTTGATGTTCACCTCACCTTAGGTTTCAGATAATTCATACTGAATGTGAATAACAATTGAGGCCCTTTCTCTGGCTCCCTGTCCGATGACAGCGCATTTCTAGGCAGACTCAATCGAGTTTTTTTTTTGGGAGGGGGGGGGGCGTCCAAAAATGACTGGACTGAATGTTCCTGTTGTTCCTCAGGTGTCCTAGGAACAAACTGGAGGCCTTCCTTTGTGCTTCCTCTTGACGCACTCCTGCTCCCCATAGGTAATCCAACGATGCAGTCTTCGGGTTCAAGGAAGAGATTTATTGTTCTGGAAAGGAGAGGAAAGGAAAGCTTTTCATTTGCTGGCGGTTACTTCCTAGTGGAAGCTAGGTTTGACTTCTGACACCTCGCCCTTGGGCGTCAAATCTCCACCCTTCTATATATCATTTACCTTGACAGTGAACGAAGCTTGGAGCTCGCTTGCCTGTTTGTGTAGGTACAGCCGGACTGATCCTGGTTATTGATCCTTCATGTGGAGCAACTGTAGAAGCTTCCACAGTATATCTTTTCACACACACGTCCCAGTAATCCCATCTGGGTTGTGGGAGATGGGGATTGCTCAGTGACCTAGTAACTAGTTAATGGGAAGAGATTAGCAGACTGCCCACTTCAGCAATCCTACGCAAGCCATCTCTGTGAAACACCCGAACTGGGTGACTGATGTTGGGGACACTCAGTGTGTTGGAGATGGGGGACAGACACATGACACCTTGAATTTCTTCACTTCCAGCCCAACCTGGCAGCACTCCTTGTCCTGCTGGGACGCCCCGGCTGTTAACAGCTGCCCGTCCCCTCTACCAGCCCCTCTCTGAAAAATACACACCCCATCAGCATTCTTGGGAGCTGATGTCACCGAGCTGGTCCCCCAACAGCCCCATAACTGACTATATAACAAGAATCTGCTCCTTTTCTGCCCGTGTTTCCTCATGTCTGTCTTTCAGCATGCATGTGGGTGTGCGTGTACTTCTGCGAAAAGGACCGAGACAGGAAGTACAAAATGTACTATGCAAGCCCTCAGCACCTCACAGCTGCTCATTCCTGAACCTGTATATGTTTGCCCCTGAGGCAATACTTTCTACCCTTTGCTGAGGCATCCAGAGAAGGAGATGCTCACTGTAACAGTGTCCTCAGGGAAGTATACAAATATGGTGGCTTTGGTTGCCATGGGCACTTAGATTGCTTAGCTACCTAACAACCACTGTGTGATAATGGGTATATAATGGTTGTAGTGACTGATAAGAACAGATGAGGAGGAGCATCCGTAAAGGTCAGATGCATCTGTCAAAGCACAAACGGTGTGGTGGAAATCTGTCTTTAGTCCAGCCATTCAGGCGGCCCATTCTGGCCCACATTCTGGTCCGGCACCACTTCACATAACCTGTCCCTTTGAGTCAGGAGGCACCATACGCTGGTAAGCCGGCCCTCAGACCGCTCGGTGCCTCGTGCTTTTATAGCCCAGCCGAGAGGTCACAACCTGGCAACCCTGAGAGGAAATCGGGACCTTATGAACTCCCAGTGGTGCATCCGCACAGTGGAAGGCCACAATCAGCAGGAGGAGATTACCTCCACATTCTCTGTTCACTCAGTCCACTATCGTCGCTGAGGGGCAGGCCTTCCCGACTGCTCCAGGCAGACTCATCATCAGGTTTTAACCTTTCAACATTCTTTGTGATAAGCATTACTTTGAATCCCTATGGAGTAAATATTTCCAAAGCTACCAGCTAAGGCAACCAAGCTAAGAAGATAAAATAAGCATTGTTAGAATACCCAAAAATTATTTTCAGTAAGGACCAGCAATACCAGAAGAATCATACTACAAAATGCTAGGTACATGCAAAATATGCATTCTGTTCTATTCTGCTTAAATTGCATGGAAATATATTTTTAGAATGGTCTTCAAAATCCCCCCATTGGCCCATTTTCAAGCCTGTCAATAAATTAAATTTAACGTCTTACCTTATGCTTATTACAACTGTTTAAAACTTTTGTTTTCATTTAGCTTGGAACTCATGACGTCAGTGATTCCGAAGTTTTTATCTTGGGGACGGGAGGGGGGTTTATCAGGAGCCGTAAACCATCTCCGCTCACCGTCTGGGCTCTAGGGCCTTCGAGATGCTGTGGGGAGATGTGACGGAGCCGTGTCGTCTGTGCCTGGCCACCAGAGCTATCTGGGCATCGGCAAAGGCAGGGGCTGAGATAAGCCACACAGAGCAACGTGTATGAACAAACACACACACACATAATCGGGTGCCCGTCGCTGTAACACGCCTATGAGCTGAACAGTAGCATCCGTACCCGGTATCTGTACCTGCAGAACCGTTTTAAAGGCATAAATCCTTAGGTGAGGACAAACAAATAGGTTCAATTCACGAGTGTCTCGGGAAACGTGCCCGGAGAGATTTAGCTACTAAGTGTCGGATTCAAAGTGCTTAACGTGAAACCCTATTACTAAGTGCTTTTGGCAGGAAATGTAACACATATAAATGAGCCAGTAAATTAAAGTCCTTTTAATACTTTAATGATTTATATTATATACGCACACATACATGCACCCTCATTGGCCACTTTATTAGGTACACCTCTTCAGCTGCTTGCTGAAGCAAATATCTAATCAGCCAATCATATGTCAGAGGCACAGTGTGTATTATCACGCAGATACGGGTCAGCAGCTTCAGTTAATGTTCACATGAAACACCAGAATGGGGAAGAAAATTGATTGAATGCGGCATGGTTGTCGGTGCCAGGTGGGCTGGTATGAGGGTTTCAGAAACTGCTGATCTAATGGGATTTTCATGCACAACCATCTCTAGGATTTTACAGAGAATGGGGCCAAAAAAGAAAAATTATCCAGTAAGCGGCGGTTTTCTGAGCAAAATCACCTTGTTGATGACAGAGGTCAGAGAAGAGTGGTCAGACTGGTTCAACCTGATAGTAAAGCAACGGTAACTTAAATAACTACTCGTTACAACCAAGGTATTGAGATATGCAGAAGAGCATCTCTGAATGAACAACACGTTGAACCTTGAAATCGATGAGCTAAGATCAGCTAAGAACAGGAAAGTGAGGTTACAGTGCACACATGCTCTCCGAAATTGGACAATGAAAGATTGGAAAATCTTGGTTTGGTGAGTATGCAATGTTCAGATGGTAGGGTCAGAATTTCATGTAAACAACATGAAAGCATGGATCCATCCGGCCTTTTATCAGCAATTCAGGCTGCTGATGGTTGTGTGGTGGGGGGGTGTTTTCTAGCCACACTTTGGGTCCCTTAGTACCAACTGAGCATCATTTAAATGTCACAGCCTACCTAAGTATTGTTCCTGACCATGTCTGTCCCTTTATGACCACAGTGTACCCAGCTTCTAATGGCTACTTCCAGCAGGTTAACACACTTCCAGGCTGGTTTCTTGAACATGACAATGGGTTCACTGTACTCAAATGGCCGCCACAGTCACCAGATCTCAACCCAATAGAGCATCTTTGGGATGTGGTGGAACGGGAGGTTCGCATCGTGAAGGTGCAGCAGACAAATCTGCAGTAACTGTGTGATGCTATCATGCCAACATGGACCAAAGTCTCTGAGGAATGTTTCAAGCAGCTTGCTGAATCTATGGCACAAACAATTAAGACAGTTCTGAGGAATGGGGGTTCGACTCTACTAGCAAGGTGTACTGTGTGTGTGTGTGTGTGTGTTTGTGTGTGTGTTTGCGTGTATGATGTGTATAGCAGTAGCAATTAGTTCTGTCTTTGTTTTACAGAGCATAGAAAAAGAAGAACCTATTGAGGTGGACCCCATCCAAACAAACCCCATGCTGGAGAATGGACACCAAGTAACCCCAGGTATGGTCAGGCAGGACTCTCCATCTCATCCACTCCATCTGTCTAACCGGGTTGCACTTTTAGTCCAAAAAAGGCGATTACTACTGTACCCAAAAACATTTGTCATTCATTCAGTTCCATTAATAAGGGAAAAAAGATTATTTTGGAACACATCGATCAATAGCAATTTGGCTATGGTTGTTGAATTGACATTTAGATACCTAATAGTATGATGAATTAGAAAACATTTATGGATTGCAGTTAAGGTGGATTCATTTGTGAAAGGATAATATTAAAATTTAGACACAATGATAGAAAAAAAATGACCTTCAATAGCATGACATTGTATCTTCATGACTAAAACATATGATGTTTCATGCTGTAATCCAATTAGAAAAGCCTGTAAGATCACAGGAGCTGCGGTCTCCAGCCAATGACGGTCCGCAGGAGCACCCCGCTCCCGTGGCCAGGTCACGGCCACACCTACCAAAGACGTCTGATCCACCTGTGAGCTCGGTAACCAAGAACCAGGAGCTGCTGACCAGCCCTACCCGAGTCCCGCCTCCTTTTCCCACGGAGCCTCAGCTGTCCAGCCAGCTGGCATCCAGTGATCCCCTGCGCCAGCCAGCGCCACAATCCCAGGGTGAGAGGCTGAATATTTCTTCTTGCTCTGTTTGATAGCTTTGAGTCTCCCTGTCTTTTAGCTTTGGCTGCCTGCTTTGTGTATGACTTAATGTCTGCTGTTTCAGTGCCTGCTGTGAAGAGCTGGACTCCAAGCACAATGAAAACAATGCTCTCTCCTCTTGTCACAGGTGAGGCTGTTGACTTCTAGCGTATTGATTCCCATTGATATTCCATGTCCCCAACCTTTATCCACAGACTAAGATGACCACCTTCTCCTGTCTCCACCTCGCTTCCTTCCCAGTTCTTCAGATTTGCTCTTTTTTCTCTGTCTGTCCATTCCGTATCTCGCTCACATGTCCATTGGTATGATATCTTCAGACAGGGCTTCCTCGATGCCCTCCAAATCAGTGACATACTGCCCTGTCACACCCCCCAGCGCAGAGAGGTGAGCTATAAGCCAGAAAAAAACTGCTATGTTTTTAAGTGGGTCAAGAGAAAATGCACACGAAGGAGAACAATAAAAGCCTGAAATTAAAAATACTTGTCAAATCCAGAGTCAAAATGGTTAAACTACTATGGGTCTGATTTTTGGCAGTTTGATCAATATCAGGCCAGCGGGACATGTGTCTGTCAATTATGTCGAATTCCCCATCAGACTTCAAAGTTTAAAAAGTGTCTTCAAAGACATACAAAAACCAGAAGATACGGGAGACATTTACAGAGCACTTTCTGATTACCCAGAGTGTCAGCGGTGAATCAGATAAGTCTGGGTCCCTCAGATGGGGTAAGATGTCCTCATTCTTTCATCTGCGCGCAGGGAGACGTTCTCAGGCGGGGGCACGGAGAGCAGACGGGATTTGGTGAGATCACAGACACTGCCGCGTTCTGCCGGAGCGCAGGCGCGCCGCGCGGTGTTCGAGAGACTGGACTCTGACCCGAACAGGTGCACTTTCAGCTTTATTTAGTTGTTCGTTTCTCCTGTTGTCTCAGAGTGTACCCCTAGGGCCGGCTGAAGTCCGACTTTATCCCTGCCCTTTACTCCAGGCCCAAACCCCTGGACTCCAAGCCCAAACTGAAGCGCTCACAGAGTTTTGGGGTCTCGAGTGCCAGCAGCATCAAGCAGATTCTCCTGGAATGGTGTCGCTCCAAAACCATTGGCTACCAAGTGAGCCCCCCTGCCCCGCTGCTTCATACACGGGAACAACCAGGGAATGACCTCCACTCTGAAAAACAGATGCTTTAACACCCAGAAGAGTCTTACAAGTTTAGGTTTAGGTTGACAGGACATAAGGCTGAGGTACCAGCGGAGGAGATGCTGGTCCATCACCGGGCACATGTGCACATGCCATATATGAACAGTTATAAGGTGCAGCCAATTTAGAGATGCTAATTAGCCTAACAGCATTTGGGCCGAGTTTCCAAAGCAATAAAGAGCATTTGAAACAAATTTACTCACTGATATCCAAATGAGGGAGAAGGAAACTCTTTAGTTAAAAGAAGACATTAAATGGGAAAGAATGTCATTGAGGGATCACTTCTGCTGAGGGTGCTTCAGCACTCCCTGTGGTTGTTGGTGGTAATGCAGTGTCAGAATACATTGCGAAATTAAAGGATCCTTTAGTTAAATAATAATAATAATCGATACTTTATTGATCGTCTGTAAATTGTCTTTACGACTCCCTCAACTTGCACTATTTTGGTGAAGGGCAGCCACCCGTAGTGGCGCCCAGGGAGCTGGGGGTTAAGGGGGTTAAGGGCCTTGCTCAAAGACCCGCAGACGTGCTGAGGTTTGAACCGGCGACCTTCTGATTACAGGCACACAGGCTGAGCCCACTGAGTCACACACTGCCCCCCTATGGTTCATAGATGCCATTTGCAAATAGTTACAGGTACAGTGGTACCTCAGAACTCGAACTTAATCCGTTCAGAATTCAGGTTCGAATCCTAAAAAGTTTGAGTTCCAATCAAATTTTTCCCATAAGAAATAATGGAAAACCAATTAATTGGTTCCCGGCCGCAAAAATGTACACCTAAATACGGTTTTGTTTAAACACAAAATGCACAGGATAAAACAAGAAGACCATATACTGTACTAAAGACATCTAAGCACATTTATCAAAACAGTAATTTATAAAGTAAGAAAATAAATGTATCCAAACAATGTGTAAAGTAAAAAAAAAAACAATGTGTCCTGCCCCGATCCTCTGCTCCTTCCGTGTGCCACACCCCCTCGTTAACCCCATATGGAATCCCCGTGTGATCAGCTGTTTCTGGTTGTTGTCATTAGTCCTCTGTATTTCGTCCGCGTTTCAGTTTGTTTCCCCAGTCCGGTCATTGTATTGTCGGTCTGCGTTTTGCCTGCCTTTCCTGTAATTAAACCCCGTATTCCCTGATACCCTAATGTCTGCGCCTTCCGTCCCCGCTCGGCAAGACAATATTATTATAATTAAATGTATTAATGGTTTATTATTAATGATATTAAAATAATTAATAAGAAATCTTTATTTTTAAATGTATTATATAATAATAATTACTGTTACTGTCTATCATTGTCTAAATGTATTTTTACTGTCTTTAGAAATACATGTATTCAGCTAGTGTAAACATGCACAATGCTATCACAGCGAATGCGAGGCTGAGACTGAAGCATTACCCTTTGTTTCCGCTGAGAGACGTGCAGCATGACTCATTTCCCCGCGCGTACAAGTTATCTTAGGTCGGCGTTCCTGGTTCAACTTCTGAGATTCAGATCGAGTTCTAAGTCATTTTTTTCAAACTGGTTGGTTTGACTTTTAAGAAATTCGAGTTCTAATGAGTTCGAGAACTGAGGTACCACTGTATATTTTATATTTAACTGGAGGGTTAAAGGCCTTGCTCAGACTGTTCTGCCTCAAACCAGCGACCTTCCAATCACAAATACTGATACTGCTTAGCCCACTGAGTCACTTCCTGCACCTATGGACAGAGAATTTAGCGATTAATTGTCATAGTTGACACACCACAGTACAGCAACAAAATGTGTTCTCTGCATTTAACCCATATGTGACAGTGTAACATAGCAGGGGGCAGCTAATTCAGCGCCCGGGGAGCAGTGCTTGGGGGCGGTACCTTGCTCACGGTACCTCAGTGGTGCCTTGCTGGTGAGGGATTCAAACCAGCAACCTTTCAATTACAAGTGCGCGACCCTAACCATCAAGCCACCACTGCCCACTGGTTCCAATAGTTTTATCTATTGGCTTGCTGTCTATGTTTATGCACGCATGGCTGACACCCAGCGGAGGTCCAGAAAATCCAGAAAGTCTCATCAAAAAAAACAAGATGAGAAGCTGATGAATGAAAGCTGTGAGCTGAACTGTATCAGTAAATATAAACCTAAAGTAAAACCAATAAAACTATAAATATACAGGTCTTTGAATAAACCCTGCAAATAATGTGGTGATATTAGCTAGTATATTGGTTAAATGCACGACTCTTAATCTTAAAGAGGGGGCTTGTTCACGTACTTTGTAACAAGGTTAATGATTTAAAAAAAACTGTGTTGTTAAAAAGTGTTAGATGAGGAGTAAAATAGTAAGGAGTGTTTTGCTAGGGGGTGTTTGTGTTTAACACTTTGGTTTGAACCTCACAGTATGTTTGTAGAGTTTGTAAGTAAATTACTTTGCCATCTTGTGTAGTGTGACCCCTGCCTCATGACCTACGCTGTCTGGAATAGGCTCTAGCTGCCCCCCCCNCATCGACATCCAGAACTTCTCTTCAAGCTGGAGTGATGGTTTGGCCTTCTGTGCTCTGGTCCACTCCTTCTTCCCCACTGAATTCGACTACAACACACTGACCCCTACCGACTGCAAGCACAACTTTGAAGTGGCCTTCAGCACTGCTGAGTAAGTGGGATGCAGACCTTTGTCTGTGCCTTGCCCATGCACACATGCTTTTAGCTGGCCAATCGGTCTGCAAGTCAGCCTTTGCTACATTTTTTTAACATTCCAAACATTCCAGAATCTTGGGCATTCCACTTGTTATGTATTAGCTTTAACAAATGATCAAAGAGAATCTTTCTAGAGTTTTGCTTTGTAAATTTGAATATAAAGGGTCAATTGAAAATAATGACTTTGATTAGGCACTGTTGTTTACCATGAAGACAAAGCTTCTGCTGAGGAATGCAGATTTACCTGATATTGTTAAGCGGCACAAGGCACTATGCAATTTTAGATGGCACCTTTGTTGATAGAACTTACCAAGCACTGAACATTAAAACTAAGATTTGCCTAAAAGATACACAGGATTCCTGTTGTACCCTGTGCTATACTTTACAAAAATGAATTCAAAGTTTTAGTGGCAAAATGGCATGTTTCAAAACACGCATCCTGACATCCATCACAATCTCCTCCAGGTTCACTTGCTCACACTCGTGCTCACAGCTCATGGCTGTCTCGACTGGGAACTTTGGTAGTTCCTGGTCACTTTCTTGTGTTGCTCTCCCACCACACAACAGGAACTGTGACCTTTATGTTAAATAAACATGGGAGATGCAAAAGGTTCACAGGGTAAGCTACACATGAAATTTCATGCATGACAAAAATACACCGGCATCCCAGAAAAATTAAGAAGTTCCTAGTTCCTGTGGTGGGAAATGGCCGAATGTGCCTTCTTTCCATCTCTTTGCCAGGGCCAAGGCAGGCTGTGACCGGCTCATCGAGGTGGAGGACATGATGGTGATGGGGCGCAAGCCTGACCCTATGTGCGTCTTCACATATGTTCAGTCCCTCTACAACCACCTACGTAGGTTCGAGTGAGGGACTGGGCATCCACCGTCCCTCATCACAGCCCAAACCCCACCCACTTTGGTACGGAAAGGTCTCCACGGTACCACCCTACCTTCCTGTACGATTACCCTGAACCATCCGGGAACTGACCGGTGTCACATTACCTCGAGTTTGGCTATGCTGCAGAATTTTCCAGAACAGGAAAAACCACAAGCCGGACCGCTATTGCTAATCTTGCTGTAGTGCCCCACCGCCACTTTTTATCTGCCGTCCCCCCCCCCCCACAGCTCCCCGGCTGCCTGGCATAGGAAGAGATTTGGTAGGGTTGACTGGGGCCCCATGGGGCTCATGGACGGCTGAGTAACGAGCCGCATGCTTGAGCCTCCCTGCTTCCCAGGGGTAGCGAGAACTTGTGTGAAAATGATCGGACTTTTACGGTCATGTGGTGCCGGGCTGCGATCAGAATGAACCATTTCCAGTGCTTCTACAGCCATGTCGATCATGCCATACAACAAAAAATGCCTATTGTAAACCTACTATAGCCACAGCCCTTGGGGATGGGTCAGGGGTCAGGGGTCAGGGGCAGAAGAATGTGGAGGTAGTCACGGTTGTTTTTTTTTCTTTTTTTGGCTTTTGTTTATTATTATAATTAAGGTTATTATTGTGATTGTTATTTTCATTCACGGGTGCATTGTAGGTTTATAGTACTCTAGTTTAAATGATCCCCAGGTGTGTCACTGAAGTGCCTGTGCTTTTCTCACCATAGCCAATGGGTGGCACCTTTTTGTAAGACAGGGAAGAACCATGTGGCTCCCAAACGGACTGTTTGTTTGCAGCCCTTTGTAGCAGCCATTTGTTAATGTGTGTTTCTGTTTCTGTTTGAATGCGTGCGTGCGCGTGCGTGTATGTTCTAGTCCGAAAAGTGCCACACAGAAACACAAAGTATCTCTGCTTGTCAGCAGGATCTCTGTGATGAAAAGATTGCTGGTGCAGAACAAGATAACCAAAATAAAAACATCCATATTGACATGTTTTGCGATTCTGATATCATTTGTCAATGCATTGTCATTTGTCAATCATCTTCGCCCGACAACGTATCAAATTGTGCATATAAGACAGGTAGCACAGCACAGCAAACAGAAGATCCACATATTTAGCCTCCTGCAGTTTTCAGACTTTATTTTCAAATATAATTCTGTATTTTCTTGTGCAAGACTGTGAAGGTCATAAGCACAGACATATTGTCAAACCATTTTGTAACTGCAAGACCATAAGACCATCCTTACCATCATTTCAGATGTGTCCCCTCCTAATTCTTGACGGTCTCTATCACCGATTATATGACACTGCTTTGGAATTCTGTTCTTCAGCAGTGTCAGGATTGTAGACAGGCCTGTCATGCAGAAATAGGTCTGATGTAAAATACAGATCAAAGATCAGGTGTTGCAGTTGCCCTTAAGGTCGTTCTCAGCTAACCAGAAAATGGCTTGTACTCCAATGTAGTGAAAAATACTGCTAAAGTTGTTCTTGCCTTGATAGATTTCAATATCCTTCCAATTTGAACTGGTATGGATAAACACTCAAAACCCATTTGGATTCAGTTTTCAGACACACTGATACATTGGACAACAGCCTGAGAAAGTGATTGTTTGCTCATCACTAGAGAACTTTGGGGATTTTGGCTGGTCTAGACATCCTTTATTCACAGAATCAAAAATACGTGACTTTCCATAGGAAATTCTTCTTCTTAATATGACACATGACGATCAGATTTCTCATATTCAAAAGCAATGACAAGCATCCTTGACCCTGAAGCCCAGTACACGATTATCATCAAAAATGGTCACGAAGGACATGTTCATAAATTTTTCACTCCATTACAAAAATGTCACACTAATATGTAAACCAAAGTGAGCTGTTCCCAAGAAATCACTATAATTCCAGACCTATAAACACATAAATCTGAACTATTCTTTCCTCTTTCTGCAAAACAATCTTGCAAGAATAGCAGCCATATTTCATGGATAAGAAGAGGAAGTTGTGCAGCCCTACCTTCATACATGGCAAATCAGTTGAAAGCTAAGGTTGTCCTCTACAAGAAACAGTTGAACTTAGCATTGTAAATGATACCGTTAATTTAACAATTCTAAAACGAAATGTCCTCTAGAGGGGACAAAAATTAATGGGTGAAGCTTAAGTTAGTGTACTTAAAACTTAATACGTTTTGCTGTTTTGTAGCATTTAGACACTGCCATCTCCTGGCAGTTTAATGTTACGACATTTTCTTCATTTGCCTGGCTTACGTTTCCTGTGTGTCCTGCGATGGGCTGGCCCCCCGTCCAGGGTTGTTCCCTGCCTCGTGCCCGTTGCTTCCGGGATAGGCCCTGGACCCCCCGCGACCCCCCCCTGGACAATGGATGGATGGATGGATGGCTGGATGGACGTTTCCTGTGTCTTTCCCATTAAATTTTTTATTACTCTCACGGATCAATTTTTGAATGAGAAGGGGACTGCGGGAGTGATCTGTAGCCAGACGAACACAGAATGCTTATAATGCAGTTTCGTATAACTAAAATTGCATAGAGCATGTGATTTTCAAGTAATGTACCTTTGAAATTAAGTTCTTATATGAGTTGTACAATATGAAATAACGCTTAATTGGTTAAGCCAATTGAGAGTTAATAGGCCTATGTTATTCCAATTGAAGTCTGCGTAGCGAATATGTGGATTGCGGACACAGGGCTCCGATTACCTGCGTTTATCGCCTGTGTATTCCCACCCCTACTTGCTTCTTCCTGACTTCTAGACTCCGATTTCTCACTTTATGCTATTGCCAGTTAACCGGTCTATTGACAATCCAGACAGATATCACACATCTTACCGCTTCAGCTACTTGATATTTAATTTTATACGTCACTTTTATTTTATTTTTTGTTTGTCTGTTTAGTTTATTGTCACCCGTCCTCTAGCGAACCTGACCAAGATAACAGGTTGGAATATGCGTTTGTGGATGGATGGATGGATGGATGGTGTATTGTCTATAGGCTATTTGAACCATAACTTTTCACTTATTGTAATGCGAGTTAAACAATTACATAACCTAATTCAAAGATGTAATTAAAACAAACTATCTAGAACTGTCTAAGCATAAAATATGATATAGACCTACTCAATCTTACAATTAACAACCCAGGTGCGTCTAAATGTTTCGTGGTGCCGTTGGCAAGGTTTTTGTTCTGGAGGGGGTGAGTATTTCAAAAAACATCTTTCATCCCCTTGATGCTGGAACAGAAACTCTTATCGGTAATTGCTTCTAATGACACTTTAAATGGGCAATCCATATCAAAGTCACCGGAATTCTGTATGAGTAGATCGGTGTGTATTGCAAAACGTCACAACATGGTTTAGTGATGCAAATGAGACGAAAGGGCACTGAGCTGAAAGGCCATTCCCTGTTATTGTCAAAAGGAACAAATTACTAAAATTATACACGAATCCGTCTATTCGAACGTGGGTTAGGCTATAGACCTATTGTAGTTACGTAATCTAAACATCTAATAGTACTAATTAAGTACCATGAACATGTGATAGTATGTAGCCGTAGCAAATCTTTTGTCCAACTAGGATACTCTGGATTCAAGCAGAAGTTGTAAACGTCCAAGTTCAGCAACATCCAGATTACCAAACTAATCTAGGCTCAGATTACGTATGCACTGTTGTTCACTGTACAAATCCACATAAATCATCCCTGATATTTGAAAATAATTTATCCTTGGATATTAAATTGTCAAAACTGAGTCCGAGAAGAAGATTTATTGAACTACAGTATTAGTTAAATCTATACACTTTTCAGAAAGCTATTGTTGTAAAAGTCCGAAATATTAGCCTTACCTATGTAACATGCGTAGGCCTGTGTTTCAAGTTCTTTTCAAGTATTCGAGTTAGGAAAAATAATCAGTTGTCCCATCATGGAACATTGGGTTTTTTTACATCCCTAGTGGCAAACTTTTATAGATTTATGTGATCAATTTCAAATTGGACTGATTGATTAATTGAAAAGCTAAAATATCCATCGATTTATCCATCCATCCATCCATCCATCCATCAATCCATCCATATCGCTTACCCAGTACAGGATTGCAAAATTGTAGTAAATTCTCGAATAATTTTATCTAAGATAAGCAATAAATATTGAAATTATACCAACTTTACACGTTTCATCATATAATTAATTTGCTTTTATGAGTAAAAGTCACCAACGATTAATTATCGAATATATAGCACGTATGAGGGGGAATACCAAAATAAGGCTGTATGTTAAAGAATCAAATAGCAGGCTCCAGACAGACAGACTACATCTTTACCACCGTCTTCCTGCCTGGTCAAGGCCATCATAGGAAAGAGGCTTAAATCTGTCAGACTGGCGCACGGAGTGTCAGACGACAGGGGGCGGCCGGATCAAAGTGGGCTTCCTTTTCTTTGTCACCTGTCTTCTGTTCGGCCACTCACAGGCTCGATGTCAAAGGCAGGTACTGTGGACGACACCTGAACGTGCGAGGAACAGATAGGCAGCATTCCCGTGTAGCGGTGGGGGGCGGGGGGGATCTCGGCGAGGGAGCATATAAAAAGGGGACTTTGGGATCAACCTTCGGGGCAAGCCGATGTTGGACTTTCAAAGCACCGCTATAACATTTTCTTTCCTCTGACAAACCTGACGTCTTACTCGGGCTCCCCGAGGCTTCTGCAAGCGTGACTTATGGAACGTTTTGTGGATCCCAGATTCTTCACTGCTCAGAGCCTAACGGATGAAATGGATGCATATTTTGTCCACTCTAATCCTAACGCCGAACTCAAAGGTAAAATTATACCAATGCATATGTGCAATAAAAAATGATTTATCTTTATATGTGTATAGCAACAAAATCGTATAATTGTTCACATTTAGTTTGCATGCATATAATTTACTGTTTTACAGTATAGATATGTTTTGTATGGCCTAGCTTAACTAAATTACTTGTATCAATGTTGCTTGTTCTTTTTTTTAAAGAATGATAATAATTTTGCAACATCGATAATTAACAAGCCCTTTTTCGGTGACAGAGGCGGTAAGTGATCTCGGAATGTCATCTCCGGAACCGGAGAGAGCAGCGGCGGCAGAGGGTCAGAGGAAGAGGAAGAGGACCATTTTCAGTCGCGCTCAACTGTCGGAGTTGGAGCGAGCCTTCGTGGTAACGCCGTATCCCGACATAACGTTACGAGAGAGGCTTGCGGCACTCACCCACCTTCCCGAAAGCAAGATACAAGTACGTGTCCTTTAGGAAGGAATCAGCTTAATTTCTGACTACTTCTGTTTGTCAGATATTGCAGAAGTAGCTTTTAATTGTAAAAACTTTGCAAATAATTAACGCCGTATCTCTTTTCCAGGTATGGTTCCAGAATAGGCGAGCTCGTAGTACAAAGAGTGGCAGACTAATCAGACCACTGAGGAGGAGTCCGGCTACAGTCATGGGGTCAGACTGCTGTCCCGGTCCCAGCATCAGCCGTAAAGGACCTGCTGTTGTTCCTGCAACACTAACACCAGGAGCTCACAGATCTGAACCACGCTGGGGAGATGTTGGGGAGCAGTTCTGCTCTGACTGGGTTGGGCAACAAAGTACCCCCAGGCATCATCAGCCACCCCAGCTGCCTCCTTCCTCCTCTTCTGACCAACCTGAAGCTTTATTATGGGATGACAGAAGCCATTCACACGTGGGATGCCGTGAGAGCTTTGGGAGGCCCAGCCAAGCAGCCCAGGAGCAGTTGGGTCGGTTCAGTCAGCCGTGTGCCGCCACGCCAGGGTATGGGCCCCCAAGACCCCAGCCTCACTCTGCTACCCCAGCAAAGGTTGGCTGTACATCCCTGGACCAAGTGGTTCCCATTCACTCGCAGCAGAGGTACTGGAACATAGAGCAAGACTATCATATCCCAGGTGGGGGTCAGACCTCACTGGGCTACATCTCTGACCTGATCTATAATGCTGCTGTTGTCACCAACCGGCTGGAATTCTGATTCTGCTCTAATATAATGCCCCCCCCCCCCACTCACAGAGTGATGTTCCACCATGTTTTCACCCTGAACAGAGTGTCCCTTCCTCTTTAAACACTCCACCACCACAGTCTCTAAGGGCAGATTAGTGACTGCAGTTATGAGAGCTGTCACGTAATCTGTGAAAGATGGGCAGTGAAAGACATATCTGGATGATCTCTTTAAACTGATATTTGCAATTTTACTTGTAGATACAATGTGACGTATGTATTTAATTATAAATCTATTTCAAGTGTCTCTGATGGACGTGGATTCATTTTTAAAAAAAAATTATTTTAGCAACTTTTAGAAGAAAAAAATAAATAAGTCTTATGGATTTATCTGAATAAATAATTGTTTTAGCGTGATGATTATTTGAAAAGGGGGGCACAGAGAACCAGGACATGATAAAGTCAAGGTACTGCAGAGACAACTAATATAAGTCCACATAAAGGAACAATAGCCAGTGCCTTTTGATAGGAACAAACAAGTTAACCTAAAACAATACCTCTTTTACTCAAACACATCCTGGCTCACACATCTATTCCAATAAAATGTTTCAAGTGCCTCTTTATTACAATTTCGTACAGAGAGAATGCATCATATAATTCTTTGCTGGATTTTTTTCAGAAAAAATGTTTCCATGGTGAAAGTAAAGCAAATCTGAAGAGAGAAAATTGAAAACAAAGGTTAGACTTCTATCGGTTTATGAGCTGTTTAATTCCGACTGGATTTAAAGTGCTGTGTGCAGTATTATATATACAAGTTATTATTGTGATAATGTGACAAAAGCCCTAAGAGTTCAGGATTGTGAGCTTGCCATATAATAACAATCCTTAATACCAAATAATCTTTCAAAAAAAGATAGAAAATATAAAATTAAATGGCTAATCCAGATGTTAAAATCTCATTTCTTTGCGAGATACATATTTTTCTCTCCAGATGTAGCCGTATCCGTTATTTTTTTATTTTAGCCTGATACGAAGGAAAATCATGTTTGTATTCATTAATAATCAAATTAGCAAAGAATAAAACCTGATTTTGAAGGGGAACAGTCTCCGACACAGTCTTCAATCTGCTACACATTCATTTCTGAATTATCTCCATCTAAGTCATAGCAATGAAAACACTGTGGAGGTCAAGCGGTGGTTTGTAATTCTATTAAAAGGGATGTGCACCATCGAGGGATATTTAAAGCGGAACAAATGCTGCCAAAATGATGTGAAACAATGTGGCCTATCAAAACACATACAGTCATTCAACCAGTATATTAGTACAGACACTACGTAGCTACTTTCGGTTTTCGGTAACAGTTCTTTCACAAACAGATCATTTCAGATTTTCAAAACTAATTTGAAGCTGCGGTTTCCAAGAGTAAATTTTATTGTAGCCAATATTAGGGCTAGGATGTAATAAAAAAAATTCCTCTATGTGTGTATGGATGGAAGGACAATAAAGACCCGTTTACTGCACATTTTGCGAACACTATACCATCCCTGGACTGCTTCTGGCACCAGCTGTTGCCTCGAGGGCTGACTTTGATTTATACCTGTGCGGAATTCTAGCATGAGGCTTGTAGCTAGAGTTCAAAGGCCCTACTTTACAATTGTGTTACTCTTTTCATTGTGATTTAAATAATTTAAATATTTGAATGAAAATAGTTTCAATAGTTTGACTTTTTATTAATATTAAGTAGAAATATGACTCATTATTTTCCCTTTTTTTGTAGTCTTTCCACTAAATGAAGAAATGAAAAGGGCAAGTGGCTAAATTATACAGCTGTTGAAATAGAACACCAAAAACGAAGTACATGATTGATGTACAGTATCTGTAATTGTATTAGGAAGGATTTCACCGACTAATAACTATAAATTTAATTTGATATAATTATAAAATAACTATAAATTTGTTTGGTGTGCACGTGTTCAAGGATGAGGTGGTGCAGATATCAATCCATATGTCTGACAAGCTAGGCAATGAACAGCAAACAAGCCTGAACGGACCCGGAGTGTCCTGGGGATTCGGCGGACCGGCAGGCTGACCTCGGATGTATCCCGTCATGCACCGCAGAGCCTCAGATTATGGGCTGGCGCAGAGCGGCGCTTCGGGAAGTTGCCAAACAAAGATGGCTGCCTGTGCTATACGGCGGGGCTTGTGGTCTACAGTCAGCGGGTACCGGAGAAGGCAAGCGTTGCGGGTGTTAAACGTCGATTTTAACAGCAGGCCCGAGTCGTATAGGCAGCCGTCGCTGTGCTCTTCGTGCAGCCCCTTTGCTGCGGCCCAGGCGCGGCTCCTGTCGTCACGGTAAGAGGCAGTTTTTTTGTTTTCGACCGCTCGGATACTCCTACCAGGCACGTCCCATGTGCCGTTTTCCCATTCAGTCCGCTCTCAAATTAATCTCCAAATGGCCAGTTTCCTGTCCTCCGTGGACTAAAAACGAGCACGTCTCTAAGTATTACGGGCTGTTTTTTCCATACGTCGCACCCAGGCCGGTTTATTGTTGTGAGGCGACGCAAGGTCAGTTGTCATTTCGGCTGTTGTTGTTAGCGCGTTAGCCTGCTAGCGTGCAGCTCATGGCAGCATGGGGGTGTACAGGAGCATCGGGGCTGGACCAAGGAGGCATAATATAAGAAACAGAAAACACGGGTCATGATAGTGGCGAAGGCATTGTATCCGGAAAAATGTACGACTTTTAATGTAATTTCGACATTTCTCAGCTAATAAATGTTGACGCTTTAATATCTGCTTGCATGGTTTAAATCGAGAAGATCATTTTGGTGTAAATGCGAGTTAAAAGCCAACGCATATTGCTGGTCTGTATGATGTCACCCCGTTGATGATCGTTACCCTGTTTTTGCACACCTGGCAACTGCTGTGTCTGTAAACACCTCAATCGGTGGACATAAAGTGAGACAGTAGTGGATACAGAGATGCACGGAGAAGCCAGTACACATCCCTCCCTTCCCATGGCCTTGGCGTCAACCGGAAGTTGAGTCGCCATGGAGCCTCCCCTTTGAGTCTATGTAACTTAACTGCTGTTGTTACGTAGGACATAAGTTGAGAGGTTAGCTTTACGCTTCTGATTCTGGCTCTTGCAGTATGAACCGTTATGTTTGTCTTAAGGGCAGGCGTCATGCAACCATTTGTCTAGTAGCATAGTTGTATCTGATTATCAGCGTAGAATCTGTTTTTTTTTTTTGCACTGCTTGGTGTTTTGCCAACCAGTAGATAGCTCAGTGGACTAGATTGATTTCTCAGCTTTGTGTCTTGTATGTGAGCTTGGCGCATTCAGATTACCACATTTGACCGGGAAAGATGTTCAGCTGTTGGGTTTGCAGCGGCGGAGTAAGCCGGTGTAATTTGTGCATTAATTTCCATTTTGTTTCTCTTTGCATGTGCCTGCTGTGGCCATGGCTCCTGCCCTTTCCTGTATTGGGCAGTAACAGACCCGAGGGCAAAGTGTTGGAGACAGTGGGAGTATTTGAGGCACCAAAACAGCATGGCAAATATGAGACAGGACAGGTAAGGGGGGGGGGGCTGTCCCAGTCTTTTTTACTTTGCTGTAAGAGACATACATGCATCATACGTGTCAGTGTGTAAGTGCTTCTTCTTGCTTTGACCCCACAGCTTTTCCTGCACAGTGTTTTTGGTTACAGGGGAATAGTTCTTTTTCCTTGGCACGCCCGGCTCTACGACCGTGATGTCACGCCCCCCACCACCGAAAGGTGCCCGCCTTCCCGTTGGTGGCCTGTTGCTCCAGGAGACACATTCACCTGCCGAAGGCTGTCTAGTCGTAATGTCTGTTTTTTCAGCATTGCTGAATATGCAAAATGTAGCTCTGGGCTTGTTTTTCTAAACGTGCTGGTGGGTCTGGATGGTCAACCTGACTATTTGGTTTGGCGTGTGACCAGAAGGGTGTTTAATCCAGAGTCCAGAGGAAACATAACATTTGATTTGCAATATTTAGCCACAGCATAGACACAAACTTGTTGACACGGTAAACAGTCAAGGGATTTCAAAATGGATCAAGGTAGATCTGTTTGTTTCCCTCTGATTCTGTGTGGATCCCAGTTAACGTGTCCACTTAATAAAACCTATAATCTTAGGATATATGTCTGTACATTGTTGCTTGTGTCTTTATTGCCTGCCTTTATACCCTCTCATTGCTTTTCCAGCAAGTCAGAGCCTCCTGGCACTCATGGATCAAAGGAGGTGAAAGGGAAGACCCACACGTACTACCAAGTCCTCATTGACACCCGGGATTGTCCGCACATTGTGGGTGTTCCTGATAAATCCCACGGTGCCCTCTGTCTGATTTCTGGCTGTTGCATAATTCTGATGGTTGGGTTGAAGTGCTTCATGGTTTCAGTTCCACCTCTCCTGGTGCAATCAGCCTACGTATTAATGCCCGATATACTGCTGTACCAGTTTTGCAAATAGCACAGAATTTAAATATGCTTTGCCTTGCGATGGCCAAAGCAGTGCTTAATAAACCATTTGCTGTATTTTCTGTCCCCACTAGATGGTACTCTCTGTTCAAAAAAGTGCATGACCCAAAGCAAATCAAGCGTCCCACCTTGTGAGGTCAGAAAATACACTAAGTGGTTTATGAAGCATGCTTTTGGCCATCACTACCACCGCCCTCACCCCAAGGCAGTATGTCCAATTTGGAATGTACTCTCTCTTTTTCAATATGGTTGACCATATTACATTCTGTTTTAAGAGCAGTTTTATTAAGTTAGAAATTGGAGCCTGACCTGTTTTAATTTTTAGGTATTTCATTAATAAATATTGTGGGCTGTTTTTTGCTTTTAGTATTTGTGCTTCCTTTTTTCCATTTAACGGTTTATTTGCTGTGTTTATGCAATCTGTAAACTTTTGTTTATATGAAGCCTGTCTGAGTGTTAGAAGCGCAGGGTGTAATGTGTTCTCTGTTTTGCACAGTCTCAGAGATCGCAGACGGAAGCGGTGACATTCCTGGCAAATCATGATGACAGCAGAGCCCTTTATGCAATTCCAGGTTAGCGAGCGTTATGCTGTTTATTCTCCGTTTTTTTGCGGTTCCAGTACAAAGGTCTCTCTATCGTGACATGCCCACAAGCATTATTTCTTTTTCAGGTCTGGACTATGTGAGTCATGAAGACATCCTTCCCTATAGCTCGACCGACCAGGTCCCCATTCAGCACGAGCTGTTTGAACGTTTCCTCATGTTCAACCCATCCAAAGGTATCACAGTGCTGTTGCTCTCTGTTTGCCCACCTTTCATGCTTGGGAATAGTGATGGCCAGATTTCATGAACCATTTGCTGTATTTTTTGACCCCACTAGATGGTGCTCTTGGCTTGCTTTGGGGAATTTGGCTCTCACTACTTGGAAACATGTTTGTTACTGCTTTTTATTTGGCGGTATTTTATATTAGGACTCAGATGAGTCAATAAGGGGACACTAAATGGTCATTTAAGATGAGATGACAAGCACCCTGTTTGACCTTGACAGAAGAGTGGTCTTCCTTGACTCGGTGTTTATCTAAGAGCCCATCTGCTCCTTCAGTGCCCCCCTTCATCCCTCGTGACACACTGCGGGCGTGGCAGGAGAAGAACCACCCCTGGCTGGAACTGTCAGATGTGCACCGTGAAACCACAGAGAATATCCGGGTCACAGTCATCCCCTTCTACATGGGCATGCGGGTGAGGTTACCGTTTCATATCAGGGTTAGTGGGCAGTGCTGGGCTGTAATTGCCATGGGGAGGCTGGATTTCCTGTGGAGCTCGGCAGAGCACATTGCTGATACCTCTAATTCACCCCCAGTTTCTCCAGGGACTGGCTGATCCTTCTACATCACTTTGGAAAAAAGCTTCTCCTAAATAAATGAAATATAAATTTAATTGCATTGACCGATAGAGAATGTGACAAGTGTAATGGATGTGAGTTACTGGTTTTGGTAGATTGTGATTGAGAAGTACTGGAAGCTTCACCTGCTGCATCTTATCCATGCATCGCCATTACTGCCTCATTAATGTGTTTCCTTACTACTTTTTTTACATTAGGAAGCTCAGAATTCCCACGTGTACTGGGTAAGTAAGATCTCTTCTAATGGTTTGGTTATAACGCAATGGCAGCATGAATGTGCTTTCTGTTTGTCCCCCCCCCCCCCTTTTTATGAAGTAGTCGTGCCCTTGAATAACACAATTCTACAGAATTTTTTGTTGTCTAAGCCTTGGGAGAAAATGGGGAAGAATGATTTCTTTGTGTAAGCGTGTTGGCTAACATTCAAGACGAGAACTTCACCCGCTGGTGAGGGACTGTGTGTGTGTGTGTGTGTGTGTGTGTGTGTGTGTGTGTGGGCACACAGATGACATAGGCAACTGCCGTGCCCTCAGTGTGTGTTTTTCTACAGTGGCGCTACTGTATTCGGCTGGAGAACATGGGCAATGAAGTGGTGCAGCTACGGGAGAGGCACTGGAGGATATTCAGCCTTTCGGGGACGCTGGAGACTGTCCGAGGCAGGGGGGTAGTGGGCCGGGTGAGTGAACACCCGGCCGTGTGCCATCGCATGGCCCCCTCAAATCAGAATCAGAATATCTTTATTGTCATTGTAATGGGTACACCGAAATTAGGTGCTGTCCTTGCAGCGTCAAAGAATTATACCAGAAATACATACATACTTAAACACACTTACAAGAAATACATACTTACTTGAAACATATGGACATGTAGAGAACATAAAGAAATATTGCACGCGATTGTATGTATTAGAAAATGTGAGGCAGACCTCAGGGCTAGGGGTGTGTGTCTGTCTGTCTGTCTGTGTGTGTGTCTGTCTGTGTGTGTGTGTAATATGTGTATATATATATATATATATGTGTGTGTGTGTGTGTGTGTGTGTGTTTTGTGTTGAAGTATAAAGTTTTCTTTTCTACATGATATCTGACCTTAAGGATGCCCCTTGTATATGATTGCGTCTGTCTCTGTGCACACAGGAACCAGTGTTATCCAAGGAACAGCCGGCGTTCCAGTACAGTAGCCATGTCTCCCTGCAGGCGCCCAGTGGGCACATGTGGTAGGTCCATGACACCCCAACCCCCCCAAAACACCACATCCTTTGTGTAAATTGTGAGTTCCAATCATAGTATAGAATAGAGTATAAACACAGTGATGCGTTGAGTGGATCTCTTCCCATTCAGTAGCCCTTTGTCAGAGAAGAGTGTGAGTACCTGCAGTTTTTTTCTTTTCTTTGTTTTGGTTCATTTTTGCACCTTCTTACTGTGTCTTCTCTGGTGGAAATACAGTCATTCTACATTTCCTTGGTTAAACCCGTAATATTCATAGTAGTGTTATTGTATCAGCATTTGCCATGCCTGCCTTGGAAGATGAAGTCAGAATTGTCTCCTTAATCTTGAGTAATACTTTGCCTGACTGAGTCTCTGAATACTGGTTTACTGATTTCGTTAACAGTGTCTTGGAGCTGTTTGTTGACACTGCATCAACTGGCTGTTTTGTGCTTTTGAGCTCTGGGCATAGTCTGCATTGACTGTGCTAAAAGAGTCTGTGTCTATGCATATCTGGGAAGTTCCCATTTTCTGTGATGTCACTGTAACATTTTCTACTGTAAACAAGTATTTGCAGTATGACTGTAAGAGTTGGAAGCATTGTAACTGAAAGAACAGGGTGTGTCGTTGGTTCACTTTGTTAGATTGTAGCAATAGGTTGTCAGCCTTCACAGAGTACTCTTACTCATTTTACATTTTGTAGTGAATATTGTGTCCACAAAATTGATCCATTATTCCCAGAGGGGTGTTTTTGAATTGCACATTTAGGAATGATTGAGAGAATTTTAGTAAAATTAATATACATTTTATAAGTGTTCCATTTGCATTTCTCAATTTGTAGTTCTACCCATGACTGTAAAGAGTCAGTATAAGTACAACACATTTCTGAACACGGTTTCTGCTTCTGTAGTGTGTGCATGGTTGTCAGTAAAAGCATGTATCAGTTGGCACATTTGGTTCAGGTGCTAAGTAACATGGGATATAGGCATGTTCACCTTACATGTTCATACCTGTAATGGAGAAACTGGCATTGCATCCACTTGCAAGCCAAGGTGGCTTTTAGGCTGTGGTCTGCATAAGTTCGGCAGGCTGTACGTTCTCCATATCCATGATTAAGCTGCCTTGTGAGTAATGAGGGAATTGGAATCGTCGGCTTAATGATGTTTGTCCATTCGAAGAGCCAGGCTATAATGCTTATATTAATGTGGTGTTGTGCTGCATTATGGTTCTAAGTGGTTTGTTATGGTGTTATGTGCTCGTCTGCTGATGGAGGGCTGTTCCCTGAGGCTTCCTGTACGCTTCACTTTGGTGATCTGCATTTCTCTTGGGATGCTAATGGGTGGATGTAGGATAACGTACGTTTGCATTGTCATGTTGTATGTTTGTCGTGTTCCAAGTTTGCATAGACTGAGGTACTAAGGTACAGTCCAGCCTCTTCTCTCAGCTGTGGACTGCAAGATGGCGCTGCTGCGCATTTTCAGCTGGAGCGTTTGGGGGAGGGTGCAGACTTCTGTTCCTGTCCGTCTTACCATTTAGCCACCATGGTGATGGAGCAGATGAGGTGTGTGTCTGATGTGTGTGTGTGTGTGGTTTTCCTCACCTTCAACCAAGTAGATTTCAGTGAGGAGGTCTTGGGTAATCCCATCTCCGTTTGTGCTTGGGCTGTTCTCCAGCAGGTCCAAGTGCGTGTGTCTTGCTGTTGCCGACCCTGATAGAGCGTGTCAGGCCGCAGTTGGCGGTAGCGCTGTCCTGGAAGGCAGGAGAGGCCGTGCAGTGAGGCTGGCAGGTGCTGACAGTGGCCTGTTGTCTCTCGCTCCTGCAGGGGTTCTTACCGCCTCGAGAGGCCCAACGGCACCTTCTTCGACATCCGCATCCCGCCTTTTTCGCTTGAAAGCAAGAAGGATGATACTCCCAACGGCTTCCTTCCAGGCCCCTTCTCTTCCCTTCCCTGAAAACCTGCCCCCCTCCCCCCACTACATATAAATGACCCAATAAGATTTGTGAATAAGGGATAATGAATGAACCTGCACCTCTGGCAATAACATAAGGGAAAATGTTCACACTGCCAGAAACCATCAATGCCTTCAAAAGGGCCAAATTTTATTATTTTATCGCAGCCTAATTTGACTGCCTTCAAATCTGAAGTATTTGATTTTTGAACTGTGGAGTGTTTTGTCTGATCAGATTCGAGACTTTTAATGGTGCTCTGCATTGATAATCTTTACATGCTACGGCAGTGTCCAGTTCTCCAGAGGCACAGCCCATGTTAGCACTTGTTGTATCTGTTGTTTGAAATCCCCAGGGAACGTTGTGTCCACCGGTTTGATCCTCTGTCCCCAGGGAGAGGTTTCGAAGTGGCACAACGCGTATTCTGTTGAATGTACTCTAAATGAATCTGCTTTTAAAAGCCTACCTACTATTTAGTGCATTTAAATATGGATCTGCACTCTAAACAACGTTAAAAACCCCCCCCTCATTGTCGTCTCCTTCGCAACTAGCAGCCTGCTGAACCCTGAACGAGTCAGGTGTGACTAGGGATGCCCCACTCCAGCCCCTTAAATGCTGAAGTCCTGTAGGTTTAGAATGCAGTTTTAGCACCTGTGTTAGACGTGAAGTACCATGTGATGTAAGTCACTATACTAGGAGAGACAAGTAAAGATGGAGGCCTTGGTGAAAACACACATCGTGCAACGGGAGCAAATGAAATCTGTGCACCTGCAATGAGTTTGTATATATGTTAGCTGAAATTACAGGACTTTTATTGACTATATTTTTTGCTGCTATAATTACACAATCCCCTCTGCCCCCACCCTGCCCGAGAACAGTATTTAATTTTTTTTTCAGTTGCCACCATCTGCTTCTTTCTCCCAAAGTCTGCTCCACAGTAAGGCTTAACTGAGTTAGCCGTTGCTCTTATGTGGGGGTAGTGGTGTGTGGGTGCTGTGGAAAACTTACTGGTTCTTCATCAGGTGAAATACAATCAATGAATTAATTGTTATTGCTCACAATTAGTGATGGCGCTGTCCATTCAAAAAAGGGCACATGCCCGAAAGCAAACCAAGAGCACCCTCTAGTGGGGTCAAAAAAATACATCAAATGATTCATGAGTCGTCATTTTGTCTGTCACTACCTACTATCAATTTTGTGGTATGCAGCCCATAGTGAAATTTTAGGTATTGTTTTACATTAACTGCATTTTCATGATACATTCATAGAACATTCATAAGCAGCATATAAGTATACATAAACATCCTAACATACCATAACAGCCTTAATATACATCAATAACAAATTATATGATTATACAATTATAATATTATCATAATGTTTATGTATGCCTATTAAAGCTGTTAGGGTATGCTAGGATGTTAAGGTATACTTACATGCTGCCTATGAATGTTTTATGTAGATGCAGTGAATACTCTGCCAAAGCATTATAAAGACATTATGAAGATGCAGTCAATGTAAAGTGTTACTCAGTATTGTGATGAAGGCAGTAATGGGCTGCAGAATGGCAACTCGGCTGCTAATTGCATTTATAATTCAGAGTTAATATAAGCTAAAGGAAAACTTGCTGTGATCAGGTTTAAACCTGTTAAGTGCTTATATTGTCTTCCGTTTGGGGTGTTGCATGTCAACAGTGGTGTTGAATTGAAGAATGCAGTTAAGGGGTTCTAAATGGAGCAAATGTGGAATGTAACATGGATGATGGAACGTAACCATGAAATAAACAAGGTGTGATGTGCAGGTGTTGCAGTTGGTTGTCTGCGCTGACATGATGAATGGCACCGGGCGTTTTCGTGTGGTCAGCTGTGCGCAGAGCTCAGACCCGGTTGCTCGGAGGAGTTGTCCGCCTTCCAGGGCAGCATGCAGAGTCGGGTGAAGCTCAACCTTTGAGGAAATACCAGCTTAAACTGTAAGTGAGGCGTAATTCTGCCTGACAGCCAGAATGTGTAGTAGCAGACAAGGCATTTCAGTAGGGATACGTTTATGTTCTGTTGGGCCTCTCAAATGGTTCTGGCAGCAGTGCGGCTGCCTGATTTCAGGTTTCAGCATTTGCTTGTTAGGATCGCAGGACGTTGAAATGCGTAGAAAAGTCAACCTGCTTATAAATAGATGAGGATCTTCTCGACACTGGTCACCGAATGCAGGTGAGCCGTTAGCCGCAGGGAGCTGCTCAGGGTATGTAGCTATACAGAGAGGCATGAATGAGGCATTTACTGGTCCTCAGGACAAAAGAGAAGTTGGAACAGTTTTTTTTTTTTATTTCTAACCACAACCCCCATCTCAACTTGGCAAGTTTTGCAGCTGCTCATTCTCTATCTCCACCTGCGATGGATCGTTCACCTTCCAGTTTGCCAGTGGTGCTGTTTGATATCATCATCCCATCATTTTTTACTTGACAACCAAAGACTCGGTGATGGACTGTATATAGCCTTGTTTCAGGAGCCCAACATGCTGCTTTTCCTGTTTTTAAAACCTCTGCACCTGACTCTGCTACCAGCTCTAAGCCAAACTTATGGTCTAGATCACGGGCGTCAAACTCCCGTCCTGGGGGGCCGGAGCCCTGTACATTTTTGGGTTTCCCCTCATTTGACACACCTAATTCAACTCCTTGTGCTAATTACCGCACAACTCTTGAGTTGAATCATTTGTTGTGGAACAGGAAAAGAATTAAGCTACTCAGGGCTCTGGCTCCCCAGGACTGGAGTTCGACACCCCTGGTCTAGATCCTTGTGTTTGTCTTGTATGTACCAGGCCATTGAATCTACACTTACCAGCTCTGAAATGCACCAGATTCTGTGTTGACTACCTCCATAATCTTTTTTTTTTCTTGTTTGCCTGCTTCTTTCCAAGATGCCCTTTTTAGTATTTCTATTGGAGTTCTTTTGAGCGAATGTCCATTATCCATTCCAACACTGTTTTTTGCCTTCTTTTTTATCTTATTAGTGGTACTAGCCAAGTGTGTCTGATAACTGGCAATTCTGTGTACATTTAACTCCGACCTCAAGTAGAATAACCCAAACTCTGAGTTGTTTAAATTGGTGGATCTTTCTGGCATTTGGTAAAACTGTTAAAAATGAATATGATACAAATATAGGGAAATGACATGAGACCTTTTTATTTTAAGCATTTGTGTACACAAAATCTGATTTAAGTGCTTTTAATGAAGAACATGTCTATGGTTTTGTGTTCTGGGTAGTTGATTCTCACTGTTGAACAGTCATTACAGATGTGTGTCTTCATAACAATGTGATTGTTTTGTCAGGTTCCCTGACAATATGACAGTGATACTTGTAAAGTGCAGAGCCTGATTCGAATCTCACTATTTCTACTGTGATTCTGTAAATTCCGCGGGTTTGTCCTACTCTGTGACTACTCACTCTTTCTCGTCCACTTGGATTAGTTGTGCACCATCTCAGAGGTGTTCTGTGGCATCTGCTTGGTGTCTAACCTTGATGTTTCCAACAGGGGTACATTCCGCATCGAGAGGACGGATGGCTCCCATTTTGACGTTCGTATCCCTCCCTTCTCTCTTGAGAGCAACAAGGATGAGAAGGCCCCTCCTGCTGGATATAGCTGGTAGAATGTTTGGGCAGCATTCTACAGTCAGGCCCAGGTTTTTGTGGAAATGTCCTCCTACCCTAATTTTCCATGCCCCCCCCCCACCCCCCATCCCAGATGGTAGTCGCCTTTACAGTATTTATTTGTTCTGTACCTTTATGCTCTTGAGTTTGAGAAAATTTAAAATGCAGTTTTGAGGAAGTAAGTATTTGGAGTCCTGCCATCACAGCCTCTACTTAGAAGTTTGAGGGGAAAGATGAGTAGAAGATAAAAATGCATAGTGCTGTAGATATTGTGGTTGGTGAGTGGGGAGGTTTTGGGTGCACTTTTAAATCCTTTAATTCCATTCGTAATGTGAATGAGTTTAACAGCTACTGCTGTAGATAAAGAACTTGCAGTGTAAATTTCCTACACAGCGTAAGGTTTCTTGCCTGTGGCTTTTTCATATTGTTTAAATATGCTTCTGCCTTCAACAGCGGTATGGGATTTTTGCACCTATTGTCCCACCCTATTTAAAAAGCCGTTTACAGCATGTCAGTAGGTTGAGTGAAGATGGTGCATCGCAGAAGGGTGTGATTGCTTGTTTACAGATGAGCAGTGGTGATAAAAGACGGTGTGACTACACTCCAAGGGTCTCCCGACTGTCTCGGATCACATGGGATCTGTGCGTGGCTGGTCAAAAGCCTGCAGTGTTTAGCGGTCATGGGAGAGGCCGGGAGGCATGCATTGATGTGAAACTAGTTTTGTTGCCATGACGACAGAACAACTTCTCTATCGACCGAAGTACCAGCTGTTTTCCCTGATGTCTAGTGTAGCCTTGCTGCAGCTTTACCAAAACATTACTTTTAGTGCTGCTCTGTTGTGTTTATTACAAGAGGCGCACGTGTTTAAAACCTTTTACTCTGTCCGAGGCCCAATCTTGAGATCCCCCCTTGTTTAGCTAATATAAGAATATCGCCTACTATTAGGCAAAGTGAACAAGTGGTTAGGGGCAGAGGGGGATCGATGACCTCGAAAACTGTCCCTACTTTTATTCCTGTATTTTTCTTTTGCAACTGAGAGAGATTGGTTTGCAGATGGGGTTTTTTTTCTATCAGACAAACTCAGCGCAAAGATGTTTAATTTTTACATGCAGAGAAACGGTTTGTGGTGGTGTGCAATTCCACGCTCAGTGAGGAAATGTGGACAAGGGATTCTCTGGCTGATAGACACGTTTGTGAGGCACATGATTTATAACATCGCATTTACAAAACTAAATCTGGAGTAGTGTAGACAGAAGATTTTATAGCTAGTTGCCCCTAGGGAGCGAGGCAGTAATGTATTTCTTGATCACAGAGCTTCCATTTAATTGTTACTTGTACAGAAAAGCTCCAGATCTAGGCGATTATGAGAAGGGATCCACAGTTCATTTAATTTTGGAATAGGTGCCATATAGTTATCGCAACATATTCGATTGACCTAGAAAGTATCCAAGTTGGAAGCCAACTGGAACATCCATAGACATAGTCAGTCCACACAATCCCACAACTGTGCAGAATATCCCACTGTCAACTTTGCAGTTCCTTTTTTATAAATGGAGTAAATGGTACTTAAATGAGTGAAATGTAAGCTTGTATGACTGCGATGTTGGTGAAAATTGATCTGCGAATAAAGATGTTGCAGCAAAAAATAAACATACTTTTGAAAGAAAATGCTGCCTTTTCTAACGTGTTTGATTTTTTATTTTTTTTTTTGGAGGACCAATACTAGTTATGGAGAACGATCATTTAGGCTAAATGAAATACAGCTGGCTGGCGTCAAGTGCTACTAACTGTCGTCTTTCCTGTGAAAAGCACTGCTGACATTAATGCTGTTCCTGGCTCCAGCAAATAAACAAAAGCAAGTCATTCACTAAAGAGAATACCCTCTCCCTCTCCCCTGTAATAATGTACAGTTGTCTCGAAGAAACAACATATCAATTATATAATTTTAGAATGATGAATTATTCCTAAAAAAACTTTTAGTAATTTAGCCATAAAATCATTTAAACAATTTACTTAATATTCTAGTGGTACCAGTCCTAGCTGATATGGTGTCCAATGTGAGCATTACCACCGGTGCCCCCTGTTCAATGCAGAGTTGGTGGGTCGATGCCCTCTCCGAAGCTCGCGCTCTATAGGGTTGTTAAAGTCAACGCGTTAATTTTAAGCCGTAACGCATTGTAATTTCTTTGCTACCGCGTATGTTCATTTTAATACACCAATGGGAAAGTAGTGCAAGCAATTTCTTCTGCAGACTTGTAGCTTACAGATCTGAGAATTCAATGGTGTCTGTGGTTTAACTAGATTTAATACTTTGTGAAAGCGTCCCAATGTAGACTTAAAAACTTATGCTTGAAAATTACATTGTAAATTTTGGGCTAGTGAAATTTTATTTGTGCTAGTAAATTTTTACTGAACTAGCTCAGGTGGCTAGAATATATATTTTTTTTGTCTAAATGTAAGCCTATTTATTAAATTGATACCAATTACACTGACATAATGTTCATTTTCCCCAGGAGCGCAAAATCCCCCAAAAAAAATCTTGATGAGAAAGCCTTACAGATTTTACGGGCTAGTTTCACTTTGACCACCAGATGTCACTGCAGTCAAGCAAATACGACAGTTTTTAAGTGCGTTGTACAGAGAGGAGTGCCGCTGCTGTTGTTCTAACTCGTAGATCAAATAATAATAATAGTGTAATGTAATAGTGCGTGTGTATAATATGTATAAGAAATTCTCCCACAGGGATGAACGGAATTCCGTCTTATCTTTTATATTGTAGATTCCAAAGGCAACATGCCAGAATTGATCGAAACCTATCCATTCGTTAGTTGTCAACCTTTCGTAAACCAGGAACCCCCAGATTAAAAGCTAGAAATCCCCTATTACTTATACGCGATCACATATGTAATTAAATCTAGCTGAGAGGCGAGGGGTTGGGAGTTGAATATTTTAAGTATTACATAAACCGGATATAAGCGAGATTTGGCTGCTGCTCTGTGGACCTCTAGACGGAGCCCATGTTTTAAACCCCTGTTCTTTTTGAACAAACTCAAAAGAATTGACTCATTGAAAAGTGATGAAAATCATGATTCATTTCAGTTCAGCTAAATGATTTGTTCATAGTTTATTCTTGTTACATAAATTTCAAATGAATTTATATACAATGGGAGAGATCTGGTATTGTCACATGGGTTGATTGTCATAATGTGTCAGACTGTATTTGACACAATAGTTTTTTTCCCCCAATTAAGTTATAAGGAAAACAGTATTATCACTGATAACTAAGACTTAACGCCTTTATGTAATGGTTCAATTAACTTTGTATGATTTGTTGGCAATCATATCCAGTCTCTCCTACTGGGCAGGAGTTCCAGGCAGTACAAAAGGAATAAGATAATCCTTTATTGGCCATTACACAAGTAATTGGTGAAACAAAGCAAGTAAATAAAAATATTTTGTGTAGTAGACCTAAGTGTATATTTGCTCAGGGAAAAAAATAATGTTAGAACATATGCAAATTAAGAGTAACAATACAAACTAACAATGTGTTCTGTTCTCCAGAAAGTTATTGATGTTTTGTTGGGTGACTAAAGGGAACATCACTTTGGTTCCCAAACAATTCTCCAGGGGTACCTCAGCAAATCAGAACTAAGTACACAGAACATAGACTGTCATGAAGAGGCAGGATGGATGACAATCCACAGTGTGGCTTACAGATAATGGGGAGTTTATTCCAAACCAAAACCCAGCCTACAAAACAAAACAAAACAGGAGGAGCTTAAATACAAGCAGGAAACACGCATGAATCATATTCAGTAACCAGTAGAGGAAAAGGGCAAAGGCAGGCACATATATACATAGATAATGAGGGTTAGATGAGGGACAGGTGTGGGCCTCACTAGTATTCACTAATTACATACACTAGGGACTTGGACAACAGGGAACAGGTGAAGGTTATTAACAAGCACTCAGGACTCAAACACTAGGAGATACCACAAAACTAAACACCTGTGGGGATAATCAAAAACAAAGATACAAAAGCAAGGACCAATCCCGAAATACATGAATACACGGATATAATTATCATGGGGCAGCAGATAACAAAATGTCCGAAATTGTAGAAGCTGGCTTCCTGTCAGCCTCCAGATGACAACAGTTAAAGATGCCTGATTCTCAGCTGTCCTTTCAGCCACGCATCGGCCCAGAGACTAATGGAAACAATCGGGACTGTGTAAGGAGCTTGACTAGGGGAACACGGGGAAGGCAATGGGATGGCCAGAGATACCTGTGTGAAGGCCTATTGGAAGGTGGCTGCTAAAACTGGGGTAACTATACAACAGGTTTTGAAATGGCTAAGCTAACATGCTTTGATAGACGTAATATCAAATTTTACACCGACACGAAGATCATTTAAACATTGTTTTCTTTTACTACCTTTCACACAGTACTGTATTATTATATATGATATACATAATGTAATTTAGCCATAGTGACTCTTCCAGACCTCTGTAGTGAACAGCATTATCTAGATCAAAGGTCATGTTCGTCAAAAAATTGGATGAATTGGAGCATTGATAGAGATCATTCAAAAAGAATTATCCATGAATGACAGGAGTCAAATACAAATGCATGCCGCTCTACAAACCCTTGTAACTGTCATACTGTGCCCATACTGTAAGTAGTTATAGCATAAGTCATAGATCTGGTCTGAATTTGAGGAAGAAAAGCAAACAACTTCTCAGCCCGATACACTACAGGAGATAACAACCTACAGGAGGCGACACACGCAACTTTGTTGCTTCAACAAAACGTTTCTATTTATCGGGATATTTGGGAAACGTAGGCCTATTAGAGCGCAAAGTTATTTAAGTATTACGCCTACAGTTCGGGTGATACAGTCTTATTATTGTGGTGATAGTTGTAGCTTATTAACACGAATAAGCTACACTTATTGAACTATAAACTATATATATGTGTTGTAATTTTTCTGATTGCTGCATCAATACAACATCTCCATCTTTTTGTGCAGGATAGCTGCCTACTCACTAGTTGCAAGCAGGAGACCGCTGGGCAGGCAAAATTTCACTGTACTGAAGACCATTACTCAGAGCCGTGAAGGGCATCTTTAACCTTGTCCTATTTACTGGGGGTACTTGGGCAATTCACAAACGGGAACAAACACTGAGGCGCTTATGAACTTCCGAGGGATAAGATATGATGGGTATGAGGAATGTCTGAATTAAATGCTGAAAAAAATGAATCAGCAGTGTTAACAATGCCCATCCAACAGTATTACATTATGAACCATAAAAAACGATGAATACAACTTTTAAATACGTATGCTATGTGATAATTATAGCAGACACGTACAGTAGCATGGAAATAAAAAATTGAGAAAGACATTGTTCGCGTCCTGGTTTACCTATCACCCCCGCCCCCCTCACCGACCTATATATCTTGCTTTGTCTTCCCCTTTGTTTTTCTTTGTTTTTTGCTGATGGTGGGGCGGTGGTGGATTTTGTGAACAGACGTGATGTTTTTTTGTGTGTGTATGCAACGCAAGCAAAGAGCGAGGTGGGATTGTCACTGAGCAGCTGGGCACTAAGGAAAACCCGCTACATCCGAAACAGAAATCAAGCCAAGTATCGAAGAAAAGGGGCTTCATCTTTAACAGGGGAGGTGCGTGCCTGCGCTGGACTGGATTATTGTTTTCCACTCTTCTTTTTTTTTTTTGCCCGGACCAAGCTGCGAGAGTTTGCTCCGAAGATGTTGCTGACTTGAGGGGACTTTAGCCGGTGGGATGTAAGCGGAAGCGAAGACAGACCGTCACACCCTAAGGCGCCGTCTGACAGATCTGACATTTTTCTCGGCATCTCCTGCGAGCTGCGCTCGGTGCGCTTGTTGCTCCTCTGTTGTTTTTCAGCGAATTTCCCTGAAAAAGGTTCACGGAACTATCGTCAGATAGTGTGCGATTTTTTTAATTATTATGTTTTGTTCCCCGAATCAAATTGTTACTTTATCATTTGTTTACATGCTCCATTATTTGGATATTGCATAGGAAAATAAACTTTTTAAGGGTACACTTGCAGTGTCCCGCTTCGCTTGAAGGCTTTCTCCTATATCTTTGGATTATGCTTCGCGATCGCCATATGAGTTAAATGGCTGTCGTTAAATCCACTGCATAAGGTAATCGATATGTAGCCTATTATTCTCCTACAGCAAAAATCATTTTCATGTATGTTTTTTAAGACCCAGCAACAGATTTTTCCCTACTCATTTCATTTTTTTGGAACTGGCACGCCGGGAATTACGCTTGCAATTTTGCTTTTTATATTAATATAGCAATTTTAAAATGATTTACTGTTTCGATATTCCAATCATTAGGATATATTTATGAGCCGTTTTGTACTTGAATTTGCACTTAACTTTTAAAAGTGCTAGTTAAGTTTGCATGACTGGGTGGCGGGTCAGGTGTACTTTTACGTTTGTACACCATGGGAACCAAACACACGAAGGGATCCGGGCCGGAACCTGGGGCGAGTCCGCAATACGGAGGGTGGAAGCGGACGCCAACCAAGGAACGAGGAGACATATTCACCTCTTTCATGCTTAAGTCCGGGGACCGGTTCGGCCGCTCCGGGGCTCCACCCCCGTACCAGCGGCGGATCGGAATGATCCAGGAGATGATGGCCATGGCCAAAGAAGGGAAGCAGGACGAAGCGACGGAGCTGCTGAAAACGCTCCGGCAGGTGAGTCTGAAACCTGTTAACTTGCCACTAGTTGATAACTAGAGAAGGAGAAAAGCACGCTTGGAAAAGTAACTCAAAAATTCGTTAGAATAACAGAGAAATATCAAAAGTCAATATGACATAATGCATAATTTATTTAAAAAAAATATATGTAGCGCTCTTCTAAAGCTGGGCATTAGACCTGTTGCAGATTTTAAGCTCAGTTATCTATAGCGACTGAAACAGCCTGGTATCCTGAGCCGGAAGATGCATCAGCGATTGAATTATCCAAAATGCATGCTTTGCACTGCTCTGATAAAAAAACAACTTGGAAAAAGAATTATTTACATATATTTAAAATACATAACAAATGGAAACCATATTACAACATTACCATGGTAATATTGCAATTCTGATCTGTTGAAATTACTTTAAAATTCATTTTAATTAATATACTTAAAGCATATGAACACAAACAAAAAAAAAAAACATTTACAGATGAGGATCGGATAGTGTGTTTGTGTGTGAGAGAGGGGGGGTCAACCGGGGATTTTGGAAGCATTTTGGACCTTGTGGTGTTTTTCTGAGCGACGTGAAAAGTCAGGCCGGGTCAAGAGAGGAAGGGAGACGAACAAATTGTGAGAATTTGGCCACGAATCTAAGGGCCTGAAGGCTGCAGAGAGGTGGCCGTTCTCCAGGAAGCCTCAGTCTCTGACATACTGTCACTGTGGAAAATGCCCCCTCCCCCATCAGTTCACAATCAGTCACATCTCAGTGCCTCTTGGCATGATGCTCGGTGGAGCTTCTGTGCATCTGATCACCTTCTGGTTGATGGTTGCATTGTGGTGAAAAGCAAGGAGTGAGAGGTACACAGAGACCAGTTCTCTTTGTCCCATTAATGTCCAAAATTCATTTTTCTTGTTCCCTTCCCTCCTCCCACTGTGATAATATGCAGACACTGGGGAGACAGACAAATATCACTGAGCTCCTCCACTCTCTCCGGAGATTCATCCATTATGGAACTCCCTGTCGTCTCTCTTTCTCTGTGTAAATTTCTGTTAGTCTTTTCTGTGTCGCTCAACCAGACAGCCCAGTGGACCCGTTTGGATCCGTGCATATGCCAGTCTGAGGCCTCATGTGGCCTTTGCTCTTGGCGTCATTGCACATTCTGACTCAGTTCCCATGTGGCTTTGCAGCGTAGAGAGGAAGGGACAGAGAAGAACAGTGGGGCAAAAAGTCAAGGCATGCGGGGCAGAGCCTATGGATATTCCAGGATAAATGGCTGTCTTGCACATGGCGCGTGTTGTTGTGAAGTTGAGAGGATCAGGTCCCAGGAACGACCCTTCTTGTGTACCATTTGAGAGCATTTGTACCCTGCCTGGTTAAACTTGAATATCAACTTTTACAAATGGGCCAATTGCCCTGGGTAAGGTTGATAGGCCAACAGATGCTTATAAAAGCATTTAATTGCCACGTCACCTGCAGTTTAGACTAGGTAATTCCTCTGAAGCTAAGCATGTCTGAGCCTGGCCAGTACTTGGGAGATGGGAGATCATGTAGGAGAGCTGGGTTGCTGCTGGAAGAGGTGTTGGTGTGGCCAGCAGGTTAGCCCATCCCGTGGTCTGTGTGGATCCCAATGCCCCAGTGCAGTGACAAAGACACTGTGCTGTAAAAATGGTGCCGTCCTCCAGATGAGATGTAAAACCGGAGTCCTGACTCTGTGAGGTCGTAAAAGATCCCTGGACACCTTTCGGAAGAGTAGGGGTGGTATTGCCCACTGTGGCCCTATCAGATCTGACCTCCTAATCATCCCCTATATCTAACTGGTGTGTTTTCTCCTGCCCCTTCACCACCTTAGCTACTGTGTGGTGAGCGTACTGGTGCAGAATGGCTACTGTCACATCACCCAGGTGGGTGTTACACAGAGGTGGTGGTTGAAGTGGATCCCCATTGCTTCTGTAAAGCGCTTTTGGTGTCCTAATAAGCATTATATAAATGTAACATTCATTCTATTGTTGTTTTGAAATACTTAAAAAATGTTCTTCATTGTATTTTCCTCATTCTGTACATTCTCCGTAGCCTGTTACATCTCTGGGTGAATTCTAAGGTCAGTGATTCCCCAAGATGGCTCGAATTGCCCAGCAGTCCGTCATTGGTGCATGCTGGGATTGAACCCCGCGGTTCATTTGGAGCAGTTTCACCTCACCGGCTTGCTCGGACTCCCACTGACAATCAGAAACCATGGCGATAGCGGCATGCCTGATTGGATCGGAATTAATGAAGGCTGTGCTGCATGGTCTTTCATTCTTTTTTGGTGATCTGTGCTGGGGATTGATGTCTTTATTAGATAGATGGAAGGGGGGAGGCATTGAATACTCTTTCTGCTGCTGGTGTTTCGTTGGATTACCCACCACTAGAGCTAAAAGCACCAATTCACTCATTATTTTTATAATCATTCATATTTTAAATCTATCATCAAAAATATATTGTAAGCTTTTCTTATTAAAAGGGAAATGCAAAATTCTGCCCATTCTCTCTCCCCCCCACTCCCAGTCACTCTTCCGGCTCTTGGGTTAATCATAATTGCAGGTCTGTTGGCAGAGTACTTTGCATTGTAGATAATGGACATCAGAGGGTAGGCTGCCTTTGGTCATTACAGGCTATATTGGTGGCAGGATTTTTTTCTACAGAAAAAATGTTTTGCCCATATATGGGCATGGTTACATATGTATTTACATGTAATACGTTTTAATGCATACATGCATAAACTCATATACATGTATCTGTTGGCCTGTGAGAACGTCCCTTGGTGGTTTAACGTTGAAGGGACGGCTTTGATATCACGGCCCGTTTTCATGTTCCTTTGTATTACCGCTATCTCTTTCTTCTCCTGTGGGTTCTTAATGGTCTTGTTGGGTTGCTGCAGTCATGGAGCCATCACTCTTGTTTTGAAAGGGAATCCATTACAACATGAAATACAAATTACCCAAAGCTATGGCAACGAAGAGCTTCAGGGCAGTAGCTCTGGTGATATCTGGAGACGGGCAATCTCCACTCAGCAATATTTTGGATTTCAGCTGGCAGGTTTCCTAGAAATACCGGCTGGCATGACTGTGGCTCACCGTTGACCCCCATTCAGACAGAACACAACCCACGGTCCCATCTGTCCCAACTGTCTTTGCTCCCCTCTCCCCAGGACCTGGGAATGGAGTCAACATCCCTGGACGACGTCCTGTATCGCTATGCCAGCTTCCGCAACCTGGTGGATCCCATCACCCATGACCTGATCATCAGCTTGGCCAGACACATCAATTGCCCCAAGACGGTAGATCCTGACTGACAAGCACATTCTTACCCAGCACCAAATCCTCATACATGTCCACAAACAGATAGATATACACACATCGCTCGTGGGAGTTTTACTTACATAAAAATGTTCTGAGGGCAGAACAACAAATGATTAGTTCTTAGAGACAACCAATCAGATTGTAGAGGAGGTAGGTCCAAGCAAATAGAGGTGGCGAGACTAGCCAATCATATGTCTTGGTCCTGCCTCCTCTAGTTGCTTGGACCCATTTTTTGCTCTGCCCTCAGAACATTTTTGTGCAAGTAAAACTCTGCCCAGCAAACACACGTGAATTTGTTCCCCGAATCAAATTCGGGAAACTTCCTACTGACTCATTAGATGAGAATTTCTAGCAAAAAAAGAAGGAAAAGTAAAAAACTGAGTTGGGACTGACTATCCCCGCAGAATCTGGTTTTCAGGAATTCTCTGCAGGCACATCGCCTCCAAAATTTGGCCCCGCAAAACCTGTAAACACGTGCTGTCTCTCTCTCTCACACAACGCGCACGGAAAATTACTGTCCTGCTGCCAGTCACATACACATACGCAGCCCATGTGTCACACACATTTGCACAGGTACTGGAATATGACATCCTGTCCCTCTGCTGTGCGTTGGCTGGAGATTGGATGACAGCGAGCCCAGCTTTCTTTCCAGTAGCATGGGCAGTCGTCTTGGCCTTGCTTACAGAGCACTGGGGGATGACTGACATACAGTGACTGACATACAGTGCTTCTAACCGGAGTCCTGTTTATCCTGTTTGTCAAATTTGCAGAGGATTTGCAGGATCTCTGTCTCCTCCAAAGGTGCCTGTTACTTTTCAGCACCAGTCTAGAAATTCCACTTAGTTTAGTCACACAATTGTCTAAATTAGAGTGAGTGGTTTGATGTGAATTTGTCAAATTAAATGCAAAACTCTGCGATAGGTTGGCGCCCCATGCTGGATAGTCCATGCCTTGTGCCCATTGCAATCGGAGCTTTTCCCAGAATGCCCAGGGCACCACTGGACAGGATGCCAATCCATTGCCGGGCACACAATTGCTGATGTACATATGCATGCAAGGGCGATTTAGAGATGCCAGTTACTCTAAACGGCACGTTTTTGGACACTGAGACTAGAGTGAATTTTTAGACACGGGAGTACCTGAAGAAAACCACGTGACACGAAGGAAAATGCAAACATCACATACACCGAACGGTGGGCAGGAATCAGCGCTCAGCCCTGAACTATGAAGCCAAAATGCTACACTCTGCACCAATGTTTCTCAATCCGGCCCTCTTGAACCCACAGACAGTCCATATTATTACTCGAACATTAGGCAAATGTGGACTTTTTGGCAGAGGAGCTTGGAAGGAGCAAAAACTTGGACTGACTGTGGGTTCCCCAGGACCGGACTGGGAATCAGTGCTCTGCAACCATCATACTGTACAGTCAGGGCTGGACTGGGATTAAAATCAGCCCCGGACTTTGGAGTCCCGCAAGATAATTTGTGCAAATTTGTTGAGGGGGTTGGGGCTCAAGAGATAAATTTTGGTGTCCCACGTACCCATCATCCCACTGGGAAAATGCTGGTTATGCCAAATGGTCAGTCCTGCCCAGCATACAGTATTAATACTTCTGATTTTCACATGATGAAATAATAAAATGCTGTTCGTTAGTAATGGTAGTACGTATCACATTAGTATACACTCCGTGGGTAACACAGACATGTTTAGTTATATGTAATTCATTTACTGGAAATGAGTACTGGAGAATTTCAGGCGAAGCCTTTTTCTTAAAGGGGACAATGGTAGCGTTTCTCGCAGGAATGGAACATGCTGAGTGGTCAGAGGGCAGCCGGCAGTATTTATAGCGTCGGTATTGTTTCAGCATAGCTGCTCCCGCTATCGTTACCGTGGAGCTTGCGAATGACTATATTTGGTCACTGGCTGCAGAGAGAAAGTCACCGTATCTGTCAGGCACATTAATGACAGTCTCATGGCACGCTGATGAGGTGCCCCAAAGGTATAATGCTGAGCTGAAGTGAGGAGAGTGAGACCCCCCCCCCTCCCCCTCCTCCCCGGGCAGGACGGCTTGACGTGCCGGGGAGAGACGGGCCTTGTGGGTAGAGCCACGTGCCACCGATGACTCACACGCTGATGCCCGCGGCTCTTGGGCTAGCTAACCTAACAGGCTGCGGCAGCAAGGCCTGCTCCACAGAGCAGGGGTGCCACTCGAGATTTTGGGCCCCATGAAATCATATCATACTGGGCCTCCATCCCAGACCATTCCAATTATGTTTTAGGGCCCTTGTCACTCAGGGGGCCTTGGAATCATCCAGTCTTCCTTTGCCTTTACAGCAGCCCCTGTCCAGCAGGCCAGTGTCCAAGGGGCCCGGCTGGGATGTTGTGCCAAAGGGTGTCTCTAGGGGCGTAATATGGTTATCCAGGACATTTGTCAGTGTCGCCACACATGCATGATAATGAGTGTGACTGACAGAGAAGGAAAGGGAAGGAGAAGTGAAAAACTCACCTCAGCAGCCAGGGAATGCTCTCGTCGGCAGGCTGCAATCAAACCTGCTCTCCTTTCATTCTTTGCCTTAAAAGTCAGGTCTGGAAATGCCGTATTGAAATGGAGGGACAAAGGAAGCCAGGAGAAAAGATTTTCTTGACCTTTGTTTATTGTTAAACTTAATTCAATGCAACTTTTGCTTTGGCAGTAAGTCCTCGTGCCACGTTACACCAATAAAGAAGCTTTGAGAGGCCGGGAGGAGGGTAAGAGGTGAATAAACTCAACCTGGATCAGAAATTGGAGTTGGTATGACTCACCACGCACACACAAACATGCGCACACACACACACACACACAGCATACAGCACAATAAACCCCAAATTCCTCACTGCTGAAGCCAGAATTTGCCAGAAGAAGAGAACAATTCCCGTGCCAAGTGGACGAAGTGTTCGGTTCAGACACAAAGACCCGAATGACGGAGGGAAGGAACATTGGGCTAATAGCTGCATTGAGCTAAGAACAACAATGTAAAACAAAGTGGAGGAAGACGCCACATTTGGGGGGAGCGTCACACGCTGATCACCTGGGACAGCAATGCACAGTGCAGCCGCGTGGTGATTATGGGTGATGGGGGGGATCACATGTGGAGCGTCATTAAAAATGAATCGATAATTAAACGCAAACTGATGACACTTTATTCATAAGAGCTTGAATTATATCTATGACCAGGGGCGGATTAAGGTGTACGGAGGCCCCTAGGCTACAGTAGTCTGTGGGCCCCCCAACCCATCCCCGCTCCGCGCCAATGGGGGCCCCCTTGCAGGCTGGCACACGTGGGGCCCCTAGGCTTAAGCCATATCTAGCCTGTGCGTTAATCCGCCCCGTCTATGACTTTTTAAATAAATAAATAAATAATAATCTCAGTCTTTCAAAGGCACATGGTAAACAGCCAAGTGGACATGACTTCACATCCTCCCCCCTTAAGCCCCCCCCTTCGTTCGGATATGTTCTCCGCTCCTTGGCCGTGATGGATCCAAATCAGAATCAAAATTCACTTTATTCACCAGGTACATCCTCGTGTGCCAGGAATTTGGTTTGGCAGTATTGGTGCATATGTTCACAGACAACATAGAACATATACACTGCATAAAAAAGAACAAAAATATAGAAAAATAATACAATAATAATAAAACAATATAAAATAATAGAATAAATTTGAGTATAGAAAGAGTACTGATTAGAACCAGGTCCCTAAATAGACGAATAAGTTATGTTATGTATTGAGTATAGATGTGCAGAGGTAGCAGCAGAAATATGCAAAAAGTTGTAAGAAAACAGTGTCATGTAGACTTTTTGGCAGGCATGGTGAAAGTGTGACGCTCCCTTGAAGGATCAGGAACATTTACTCAGGGGAATCTGAACCCTAAGGCAGCAAAAAGGAAAACCTTCTGGAGCTAGATGTTTGCCGTCAGGTGTTGACACCTGTAGGCACCTTCATGTCTCCCTAAGTCCGGACTGTGAACGTCGACCTTTCCAACTTTAACGGTGTCTCATTAACACCTGCTCCAGACTGGTCTTATTTGCTTGCAGGACCTCATTTGTTCCATTCCCACCTGAATCACGGTTCGTTTTATGGTTAATTATTGCACATCATTTCCTTGGTGATGACTTAGTGGACTGAGGCCAAAGTACAGAGCTTAATAGAAGAGCACCATTTGTAATTTCGTTGCTTAGCCCAAGGTGTCGAATGGCGTCGCGAGTCGGCAGCTTCACAGAATTCATCGCCTCGTTATCTTGTGTCTGCTTTTGGTTTGAGGCCGTTCTGGTTTGATGGAGAGGAAAAAAAAAAACCTCTTAATGTGCACTTTGGAGTTTGTTAGCGATATTCCCTAAACCCCCCTGGAGTAGCTGAATAAGAACGAGCAGCGAGTGGGAAAACGGAACTTCCGTAATCGATAAGTTTCATATCGATAACTGGCCATCCCCTGCCGCTATGTCACCGAGGAGCTGCGATGACCTCGTTAGCCGACAGGCGTTTTCCTTCGGCGCCGTGGATGAGTCACCAGCTGCTTAATTTAACCGGAATGTGCGAAAACGAATGTCTTGCGTGTCCTCGGTGCTGCTGCTGCTGCTTCTCGCAAACAAACGGATGTTTCCCCTGGGTCGGGGGTGTTGTAATAATGTAAACGGTTATGCCAAGACCCCATACTGCTGTGATGCAAACATGTAGAGAAAAATTGCCTTTAATAAATGACAACAAAGTCGATATATTTAAATGAGTCAGGGCCATATTTTTTTATAATAATATGAAATCACACGCGCAAATACAGCCTTCGGCTTCTCCTGTCCCAGAGGTTTTGCAATGAAGGAGACGATGGAGGGGGGTTTATGAGGAAGAACATGGTCTGTGCCAGCTGTTAAGATCAGAGGCGGTTCTAGGGACACTAGGGGCCCTAAGCAAGAATCTCCATGGGGCCCCCAATGGACCCCCCTGACATGGTAAAATTTATGACCATTATTTTAGCAAGAAGTATTAAATAATATCAACAAAGAAAATTTAATAAACACAATTCCTCTATTTTCCCTTCACTATGAAAAACAGAATACACAAATAAAGCTGATTTGTTGTTGCAATGTGCTATGTAATCAGCCCAGCTTGGGGGCCCCCTCCCAGCTCAAGGGCCCCAGGCATATGCCTGCCTTGCCTGTCCTGTCCCTATGCCTCTGGTTAGGATTTAAAAATGAGCATGGCAACCTTCCCCTTCCCACAAAGAGCTGTTCAGATGGGAAGACGTGCTTCAGGGCCATTGCCAGTCAAGGAAGACAGATACATGGATTAGATGCCTTGCTTCTTATAGCTGAGATGGATGATTCCAAGATCAACCAATAAACATCCATCATCCATCCGTGCATCCATTCATTTTCTGTAACTATTCAGGGTCGTGCTTGGGTCCAGAGCCTGTCCTATCAAGGCAGGGAACAACCCAGGATGGGGAGCCAACCCATCACAGCAACCAATAACAGAATAGAATAGAATAGAATAGAACAGAATAGAATAGAATAGAATACTGTCATTGCCAAGCTGGAATCTTTCAGCAGCAAACAGTCTACTTGGAATTTGCCAGGGAGCCTTTTACTTTGTCACCCTGGTTCTTTTGCAAGTAATTCTTCCTGTGTCGTATTTTGGCCAAAAAGCAGAATGAATTCAGTCCAAGTCAGAAATGACAGGTTCCAGAGGGCTAATCCCCACTACAGTGTTGTGTGACCCAGTGTCGGAGAAATAAGCTCTTTTAGTTTGAGTGACCGGAGCTCCTCCCTCCCCCCCCCGCCCTCCCTCCTTCCCATTGCCTGCAGGAAGGGGAGGCCCTGAACTCCATGGAGAAGGTGTGCCGCCAGCTGACCTACCACCTTAGCCCACACTCGCAGTGGCGGCGACAGGGCCTGCTGAAGCGGAAGCCCCAGGCCTGGTGGGGACCAATCGTCTATGGGGTAGAGGTGGAGGGGTGGGGGTATTGTGACTGGCACAGGGCGGGGCTTGGCTGAGCCAATAGTACGGCAAAAAATAATTACAGCAGAACACTCTGTCAGCCACTCATATCATGTGAGAACATTATAACAACCTGTGGAACACTCTGGGGGAGAGGCCTCGCTGAATTTAAAGTTTAAAATTCCACCACAATATGCTTTCCTGGAAGCTTTTTAATTGCATTGTTTTTGTAATGTTTGTTTGTTGGTACGGGATTGACCGCACGTCCACACACACTCTCACAGGGACTGGGCTAGCATCACTAATTAAAGTGATCAGTTCATCACACTCAACGCTGGGGAAGCAGGCTGACACAGTGGAATTTCCCTCAGCGCCAGTCAGATTTATTGTCCTCTCCTCTCCCTCCGCACGGCGTATCGGGGAGCACGTCAGAGTGCTTCGTGATTGGCCGGTCGGGGTCTTCATTTTGCAGTGGCATCTGAAATCGAAGGATTGCGTCGGTTTCAGACGGGAGACGTGAGAGCACGTCTCACACCCCCTGCCCGTCGTTTCCATAGCGCTGCCGGAATTGTGGGCTTAGCCGGTGGGAAGAGAACTGTGTATATCAACAAAGGGTCATGCGTTCAAATCCCGCGTGACAAATGAGGTGGTGATGTAATATGGAACTTGCTGAATGGTTAGGGGTCTCAAAATAGGAGAGTGTTTTTTTGTGACATACTGGCCTGCAGTTTTTTGTAGCCTGGGTACTGAGTGTTCCCCACCATTCCCCTTGTTCATATTTCTGGGCAAACAGCCGTTGGCTGATGTCTGTGAGTTACCATGTGTGGGAAAGAGCCTCTCTCTTTATAACCCCGGGAAACAGCGGCCACTTGGGAGTTAAGAAGTATCTGAAGCCGTATCTCTGTGGCGTTTGGCTTTCCTGACTGCCCCCTCCCCCTCCATTACACTATCCCTGGGGGTCTCTCTGAGCATGCGGCGATCGGAACCCCGCATGTTCTAGAACCGTCACATTCTTCCCATTCTGCTCCATTGTAGCTGGAGAATAATCAGCAGAGATTGCGAGAGCGTCCCCCCCCCCACTTCTCTCAGTGCATGGTTGCTGTTGTTTTTATTTTTATTTTTCTTCCTATTATTTTTGACAAGGCTCGCTGTTCTTATGTTCTGTTTCAGGTTTCCGCAGTCCCCGAGTGGACTGCGGGTGGTGCCATCAAATGAAGGGGAACTTGTTCTGTTTGGTGACATTGTCACGCGCTAATTACACACACAGCATTAATGGTTGACCTGCCCATGTGCACGCATCAGTATTGAATGCATTACATGTTTTTTTTTTTCTCTCCAGCTGGTCATCTAGATTTCTCTGCAAATGCACAACAGATTTTCAGTGAAATGTAAATTAATCTTTTTGTGGCTTATATCTCATTTTCTGGGAGGATATTTTTTCTGTCTCTCCCTCTCTCTCTCTCTGGCTTCCATTGCACTCTTTCTCCCTTTTTTATTAGGTTTAACAGAGGGCTTTAGATTGTGCCGAGAAATTAGATTATAGCTAGCATTAGCATTTAACAGATATATCTATCTTCAGAAATCACAGAGACAAAAAAAAACAGTGCAGCCTGCCTCACTGGCTGGTGTCCACAGGGATGTAACATCTCTGCCGTCTCTGTGTCAAACCCAGTGAGGGAATTAATGTGGATTTCTGAAAACTGCCCAGTGGCGGACAGGTATAAAAATAAAATTCTCTGTCTGTTTTTTTCTGGAAAGCTTGGTTCCATTTATTCGTTTTAGCCAGGGTTCCTTCATTAAGAGGCAGGCAGGCTCATTAAAGGAGCAGTTCCTCCCTGCTCCATCATCAGTTCTTGGGCTCGGCGTTCGACTGTCATGTCTGTCGTGTCTGTCGTGTCTGCCCATCACCTGTAGGAGGGAGTGACTGGCCATCATGCAGGGAGCTAGAACTGGTTCTCTCTAAAATGAGATGATGACTTCATCAGTCTGCCACTTCTGTCTAGGGGTCGGGAAGGGGGGGGGGGAATGTGAATTAGCCCGGACAGGAAAGTAAATCAGAAACCATCATTTTAATTTTTTTTTAATTTTCTGGTGATGAGGAAGCAGCTTGTGTCCCACGGAGGCCTGATTTTCATCTTCACTGGACATCCTTACAGGTGTTTCTGTTCTCCATCTGTTGAGCTGATCACATCCAAATGGTGGTTCATTTCCGTGTAGAGTGTGGTTATGGGTGGGGGGGCTAATGGAATTTTGAGTGAAGAATGTACTAGCATTCCAATAATGACTGTTGGATGGAGTGTGGCTAGGTGGGTTGGGATCCTGTCATTGTGATCGGAAGGTTGTTGGTTCACATCCCCATCTTAGCGGAGTGATTTGAATGTCAGTCCCCTGAACTCAGCCTTTAAATCCCAATTTCTCCAGGGACTGCCTGACCCTACTTTCTCAAAGATATATATGGATAAGACTGTCTGCTAAAGTAATAAAACAAAATGTAAAATAAATGATTGGCTCATACATTTAACAGAAACCTTGCCGTGACTGAGTGAAAATGTGGAAGATTAACTTGGTTTGTTCAGGTAGCCTGTCTGTCATGGTTCTGACCATGTTAGTTGACTGTGTACATGACTGATGGCTTTCAGTTTTAAGGGATGTGTGCTTTTCTTTAGGTGAAACCCTTTCCACTCTTTCTATACATACTGTAATGCCTTTGAAATTTTGTATTTTTTTCTCTATTTTTTATTTTAAGGAAACACGAGATTTCAAATGCAAACACAGCCCCGGCACAGTGAGAGTGAGTGGGTGTGTTTTGGGTGTGGGTGGGGGGGCTGCATTTGGCTGAATTTTCTTCACAGGATGGTAGACTGAATTCGATTAAGTTAAACATGATTTTTTTGTAGAAAATCAGTTAGAGACAAGTGGACAATATCATGCTCTGTGTGTGTATGTGTGCATGACTAGGTTTGTGTGTAAGTGGACGAGTGAGCTTGTGTGTGTGTGACTAGACATGCAGGAGGAGTGGGTGGAGGGGCCGTTTGCGGTGTGCGTTTGTATGAATCGTGCGCGAGTCGAACGACGAGTGAGCATGCATGTGCAAAACCAAGGAAGAGCAAGCGGTAATGGATTGCAGGGGGGGGGGGATGGCGGTGGGACTGAAGACGATGATTTTGTTTTTGTGTGTGTCCATGAGTGTGGCTGGGCAGATGTGGTCGTCTGTATGTTTTGTGAGTTTTTACAGAGAAGCTATTGAAAAGCAGGATGCAGGATGGAGGACTGAGCGAGTGTGAATGTGTATACATGTGCACATCAGATTAGATAGATAGATAGATAGATAGATAGATAGATAGATAGATAGATAATTATAGATAGATAGATAGATAGATAATTATAGATAGATAGATAATTATAGATAGATAGATAGACAGATAGATTAGATAGATAGATAGATAGATAGATAGATAGATAGATGCTTTATTAATCCCAAAGGAAATTACAGGCTTACAGTAGCACAATACCCACACTTAGTTCTGTAGTGGCGACTCAGAAGCAGACACTGTTGCACTGTGTCGTTTCCCCAGTGTGTGTGTGACAGAGTGAGGGTCCTGCAGATAGAGAGCGTGAGGGAGGCAGCTGCTGCTGGAGCAGGTTGGAGGGAGGGAGGGAGGGAGGTGGAGGAGGAGGAGGTGGCCTGGATGTGCTGGCTCCCTGTCACCGGGCCGCCATGTCGTCAGCTCTCAGGCATGTCTGGCATAAGCGCCGTGAACCCCCCCCCCCAACAGCTCTCTCCCCTTTGTTTTTCTCTCTCTCATTCTCCCCTTTTCTCTTGCTTTCACCTACGCCTTTCTCATTCTGGCTGTATTCCTCCTTTTCGCCCCTCTCTCGTTTATTCTTGTCTTTCACCCCCCCTGCATTCCTGTTTTCCTTTTTTGTGCTTATATCCCTCTCTTTGTGTTCCGTTCCTCTTTCCCCCACTCTCTCTCTCTCTCTCTCTCTCTCTCTCAGTTCGGCTGTCCCTTCTCCTCTCTTCCCTGACTAATCTGCAGTGTGAGAAGCTGCTGGTCCATCTGATTAAGGGGCGACGCAGCTTCTTCTCAGCTGCTGACAGGGACTTAGACACTGGCTTTGGTCTCAGTCAAGGCCGGGCTATAACCTGGGCTGTAGCGCGGGGCCCCGAGTTGTTGGGGGCCCCTAATTTTTTTCCTCTAGTTGTTGGTGAGAACCCAACAATGACTTTACCCCCCCCCCCACCCCAGGTTAGCCATGGTGTCCGTCCTGGATCACATCCAACATTACTTTCGAACTTCACGAGCATCCTGCTTTTTTGAATGATTTTGAGAGCATATGTGCGATATTGATGGGACCCCTGTTGAGACAAGATGAATAACGTGGCCACATGTTTTATTGGTCGTGTTGACGGGGATCGGCAGTTTCATCCATCCTGTCTCTGCCGCCCGACTCTTGCTCAAAGCTCATCAGCACGTCCTGGTGAAAAGTGACCCCCGTCCACATCTCATAGCCCGACCCCATGATAAATCGACAAAGTCCCAGGCTGAAAACAGTGGGGTTAACCCTCGATCCTGCCTCGTCTCCTTGCTGGCTTCATGTTGCGGGATGCGGCCGAGTCAGCATGGCATGACTGGAGTGAGATTACGGTGTCACTGAAGGGGAACGGCGTGTCATCATATCAGTGATATCAGGAAGTGATGTCAGCATATCACATTGCTTTGGTTTAGTGTAGCTTCTCTTATCTGATGGTAAATATTTGCCTATATTTAGTCTCATAAGAAGAAGTCTGTTGCTTTACTTTATAACTAGATATAACTAGAATCAGAATTGTTTATTTATTAGCAAATACTTTTTCATACAAGGAATTTACGTTGGGGGGGGGGGGGCGGTTATGCTAAACAGTTGTTTTGCTAAATCTCCACCTATAATGTGTGTGTTTTGGTTTAAATGGATTTTTGATAGGCGATCCCCCTCCTGCCCCCACTTACTGAAATGCCACAGTAATTGAACAGCTAGTTTGCAGGAATCCGCAGGACGTCTTTGGACTCCAGTAGCCCTTTTCAGCTCACTCACACGCCTGTGACACCACGCATCTTCTGTAATGAGAGCAGTGGAGCGTCTCTGTAATCCTGGCCAGGACTTACTGAGAGATTCTCTCTAATTGTGTTGGTATTGATTCCGGCAGCAGTTCCACGCGACTAATTTTGCCTCTGTCGGCTTTCTCTTGGGCACCGAGGCTACGCTCAATTGTGTTTGAGCAGCTCATGCATTCTGGTGTGCGAGCAGATGAGGGCTCCCTGTTCACGCGCGTGTGTGCGTGGGTGTGCACCCGCGCGCGTGTCCCCTTGCTCGTCCCTTTGGGCCGCATGGGTTCATTAGTGAGCCGCTTCCATTAGAAGACCTCAGGGAGCTCGGGGGCTCACAGAGAGCGGAAACCAGAGATAAGTGACAATTGTTGTTCTTAACGACGACAATGCTGACATTATCGAGGCTTTTGTGTGGGCTGGTGAGGACTAAAAAGCATCGGAAACGCACGCAAACAGCTGAATAATCAGCGCGATGGTGACAAACACAATGAATGAGCCGGGAGGCTTGCAGAAACTCTGGCACGTCTTTGTTCTGGTCCTCAAAAATTGCCCACCTGCTCCTTTTCCTCTCATTTTGTACATACATGAACGGACATGCAGTTTACAAACAAGGTCCACGTTCTTCGTTATCATCCTTCGTTATCATTATCGTCCTGACTCCGGCTGAGACTGAGAAAACAGACAGCAGTCGAGGTAATAAAATATGACGATACAGTCTCTTGGCCTCCATGTCCTACTTCCCTATTTTTTATGTGAGGCTCAGCAGGTTGGGATGCTGTGCTTGTAACCGGTAGGTTGCTGGTTCTAGTCCCAGGGCTGGCAGAGCAAGGTCCTTAACCCCAGTTGCTCCAGGGACTATCTCACCCTGCTGTCTCAATTGTACATCGTTTTAGATAAAAGCATCTGCTAAATAAGCAAAATGTAAATGTGAAATGAAAAAACGAACGAACTGAGGATATGACTGGGGGAGTGTGAATAAGGTGCGGCTGGGGCACGGGGGAATGGGTGACACACTTTTTCTGGGGACAGAAACCTACTGGCTATATGATAATTGCTCTGGAGAGGAAAACGGGGCAGACGAGAGTGAGAGGGGCCATTTGTGGCTGTTACTGAGGTTGTTTTTCCAACGAGAAGCTTTCATCCAGGCCACTTGCGAGGCTTTAACCACCGGGTGCAGCTGCCGTGAATAAGGTAAAGTAATTAACGTATGATTATGTCGTGCAATTAAGGTAGAGTAGCTAAGCCTCGTGGTTATGAGTTAGGCCACCTGCCGTCTGAGACGAGATGAATGAGAAGAAAAGAGATGAAGGAAAAGCGAGTGTCTGCTTAAGGATCCAGTTGGAACTGGGAACTGTGGGATAGGTGGAACATCCTGAGATGCCCTTGGGGCTCTATAAACATCAGTATCCCCTTTTGTAGACTGCGGTCGATCCTAGGTGTGGAATGTGTAGAGGTTTCCTGAAGAGACTGGCGGCTAGAATGGAGAAAAGGAGGTAGGGTTAGGAAGAGATAAAAAACAAGTGACAAGGCCCCCTTGTGGAAGACTAAAGAGTCAGAGAGAGGTAAGGACATGACAGACTTAATAATTCGGGGTGCCGCTGCGTGAGAGGAGACCACCTTCCATCTGCAGTCTGTTGCTCTCTCACTGATGCAGAGGTCCGATCTGGTAAGCCTGTTTGCCCTCGACTTCCAGTGTGAGGGTGTTGTTTTTCTCAGCTGGGAAGCTTCTGGGATTTCTGGCCTTATTCCAGTTATTTTTATACGTGTTGTTTATATGATCGTTCTGTAAACATCTACATCTTTTTTGTCCCTGTCAGTTTGAAGGCCGTCCTGTCCACCCCTCCCGTGAACGGCACAGTGGACCTGTCCGGGATCCCGCTGTCCGGCCGTGACGTGGAGCGGCTGCGTGTCCACCTGCAGCGCCACGTGTCCCGCGTGCGCACCCTGGAGCTGGGCTTCACCGAGCTCACGGACGAGGCCCTGCTGCTGCTGCTGCCCTGCCTGGCGGCGCTGCCCCGTCTGGAGACGCTGGCGCTCAACGGCAACTGGCTGACGCGCGCCGTGCTGCGCCAGCTCACCGACGCCCTCAAGGACCCGGGCAGCTTCCCCAGCGTCACCTGGATCGACCTGGGCAACAACGTGGACATCTTCTCCCTGCCGCAGCCCTTCCTGGTGAGTCTTCGCAAGCGCTGTCCCAAGCAAGGAAACCTGCCCACCATCCTGGAGTTCGGCGAGAACCAGGCCAGCGAGCCTGAAGGTAGACCCAGCGATTCCAGGGACCTGGTCACCGAAGCAGAGGAGATGCAGGAGATGGAGGTGCAGCGAAAGGTGGCTGAAGACGGGATGGGTGAAATGCAAACTGTGACAGAGGCAGAGGGACAAGGTAGCTCTCACAAGCAGAAGATAGAGGGATTAACTTTTAGCCAATCACAACAACTTTATGGATGCTGACATTTTACATCATTCCCTAAAGTCCTTTTCAATGTAAACTTATTATAAAGTGGAAGATGTATTTTTGAAGTATTAGTTTGTAAGTTTCAAAGAGGTGGTGATCATTTTTTAAATGTATTTGTGCTGTTTTATCCCAGCTGGGGACCTTATATTATTCTAGTGTTAAGCTTTGAGGTAGAATCTGTAGGTACCAGTGGGTGTGAGGGTCTGGGAGGTAAACATGGAGGTGGGTAGGTAGCTACGACCATATGGCTTTCGCTTTGTCCGCCAAATTGCCTCTACATGCCAAAACCTCTGGTCCTCAAAACCAACCATCTCTTTCTAGTGGGTGGAAAATGTTTCACAGTAAGCGAGCGGAAAACATTTCTGCAGAGGCGTCGTACACAGAGGTCGATCGCGGAGCACCATTGGTACACAGTGGGTCAAAGTTCAGATGCCACAATATGGAGCGAGAGAGAGATCAGGCACTGCAAGCTGTGATTTGTTAGTCTGCCACCTGCAGGGCTCAAGAGGTACAGCACTGAGCAAAGGGCCGACGCTCAGCACTAAAACACTGACGTTAACACACATTAAGTGATAAAATGCCACGTACAAAGGTGTGTATCATCCTTTTTAATATCAGTTCTCACTTTTATGTTTGTCAGATTATGAATAAATATGTAATTATTTAGCCAGAAATCACTATGCATACTGTATGATATATGGTATGAGTCAAAAATCTGGATACACATACTGAAAACCATTTGTTTTTCTGCAAGATACCAACCCTAAGCTCACCTTGAGGTTATGTAGTAAGTATTATCTTGTGAACAAGGAAAGAGGTGGAGTGCTGTGACAGATAACCTGGCCCCCACAACCCCCCCACGACCTAAACCCTATTGAGCTGGTTTGGGATCAGTTGGATCGAAGACTAAGCAAGGTAGCCAACCTGTTCCAAGAACTTGTGGGAACTCCTTCAGAACTGTTAGAGACGTATTAAAAGCAGGTGTGTCCAGACTTTTGACTGGTACTGTACGAAAAAGACAGTTGGGATAAAACACATTAGGCCTATACACTGCTTGAATTTTCAATTATGAAAGTAACAATTATGGATATATTTTGTAAAAGAGAAATGCTGTATGTACCTTTAATAAAATGTGTATGTTGTACGCGGTTGATAAATGGCATTATTAGCCATCCATGAGAGCAGAGTGAAGGATGCTGTCATGCAGAGGTGATTCTAGGCCTTTCTCTCAGGGAGAGCAAGGTGACAGAGCCCAAGCAGTCATTCAGCCAGATAAATAAATTTGTAAAAAAAAAAAAATAGCATATTGATATGGCTAAATCAACCCCAATTTTTATATATAGCTTTACAATATAATTACATTTTATTCAGTTTCCTCAGTTATTCTGGACAAATTTGCAAATGAAAATTATCCTTCTTATGACCTCATCTGTAAACCTGCACACCCAGTCAGTCAGTGCCTCACAACAGAACGTCATTTCTCATTGTTTTCTTTCATTCACAAATGATTTAGTTTTGGTTCTTATAGGATTAGATATATTCACTTTGAATTAGTCCAAAAACATGATGTATTAGGCATGTTGCCAAAATGAAGTATATGCTCTTCATTTCTTTACTTATATGCCGCAAAACATTTAAACACGTGCATGGTGTAAATCATCACATGCAAATATGTTAATGCAGTTGTCAGAAAGGTTCCTTCAGTGGTGAAATATGAGGGAAATAGTTCCAAAATAGAGGGTTTATTGGATGATAAAATTAGAAACTGCCTGTCACCAGCCACACAGCCATGTTTCTTAACTCACTGCAGCGGATGCTGCCTGTGATGACATCCCAGCCACACAGCCATGTTTCTTAACTCACTGCAGCGGATGCTGCCTGTGATGACATCCCAGCACATTCTTGTAGAGGGTGGTTGAGACACACAAGGAGGTTATTTTCTCAGTGTACAGCAAAGGAGAATATCAGATGTGATGTAGATGAAAATATGTGGCCAGACCAGCAGCAGTGACAGGACAACCCCTGATGTAAAATTGGCCTTCTTTCCAACATAACTACCTAAAACACTATGTACATTTTCACATGTAAGTTTCCAAATACAGTGGTACCTCGGTTCTCGAACTTAATCCAGATCGAATCCTAAAAAGTTCGAGTTCTGATCGAATTTTTCCCATAAGAAATAATGGAAAACCAATTAATTGGTTCCCGGCCCCCCAAAATTACACCTAAATGTGTTTTTTTTTAAATTTTTTTTTAGCATTTAAAC